AGAAAAAGAAAAACCTTACCTTATCAACACACCAGAGTCTTTTTTTTTTGCTCAGGAGGAGGGCGGGTGGGAGACACTACATGTGTAGTGCCTCGGGTTTAGCCACTGCCCAAATATATCAGTTCACTCACCTTCCCAGAGGGCAATTCGACCGCTCCCACTCAGCTCCACTGCCGAAATGAAGAACTTACCTTTGCGGCAGCCCCTTGGTCCTCGCTCTCGCTGCTGCCACTGCTGCAAAAATGGATGCTGCTGATTCCATGAGGTAAGTATTTAAATGGGAGACTTACCTTCCGGCAGCCTCCTGGTCCTCGCTCTCACCGCTCCTGCTGCTGCTGCTGCAAAAGTAGAGTTTTTAACTTGGCTCCTAACTCTCTCAATTCTGCTTGTAGGACCTCATCCCGTTTTTTACCTGTATCATTGGTGCCTATATGCAAGTTAAAACCCTGCAGTTTTTCCCTCTTTGGATGGTAATACAAATCTTTTTTTTGGAAAACCATAATTGCATCATTGCTGGTGTTGAATTGCAGAATGTAACCACTCATTGCATGCCTCTTATGATTGTAAACTCTTCAATCAGAGCTTTTGTATTTAAGGAAAACAACTCCAGCTGCTGTAATCTTTATGTAAAGTCACTCATTCCCCGAACCATTCTTGTAGTTTTTTTTTTATATCCTCAAATCTTCAAAACTTTCCAAAGTACTGTCTGCAGAACTGGGTACAGTATTGTAGATGTGACCAACTCGTGTTAACATTTGAGGCCAAACTAATGTTTCTATAAATGTTCATCATAACTTCCTTTCCTACCACCTATGATGATCTGTATGCATATACCTCCAGTTCTTTACATTCCTGTACCCAGTTCAGAATAGTACTCCTTCATTTATTTGCCTCTCCTTGTTCTTCCTACCACTTTGCATTTCTGCGTGAAATTGCATCTGTCGAGTCTTTCCTTATTTCACCAGCCTGTGCCTTCTGCAAGTTTATCACTTTCCTCCACACAGTTCGCTGTACCTCCAAGTTTTGTGTTGTGCAAATTTTGAAATTGTACATTAAAGTTTAATTTATAAATTAAGCGATGCAGTAGTCCTAGCACTGATGTCTCAGGAGCACCATTATAGGGGAGAGGCTGTAATGCATGTCACTGGACTGGTGATCCGGAGATCAAGGCTAATGCTCTGGGAATGCAGCTCAGATACCACTACACTAGTTGGTGGAATTTAAATTCAATTAGTAATCCTGGAATTGAAAACCAGTCTCAATAAAGACCATGAGGCATCATGAACATCTCCAGCTGATTCCTTAACTTCCTTTAGAGAAAGAAAATTTTCATCCTTACCTGATCTAGTTCACATGTGACTCTAGCAATGTTGTTGGCTTTTAACTGTCCTTTGTAGTGCTTTAGCAAGCTATTCATTTCAAGAGCAATTAGAGAGGGACAACAAATTCTGGCGGTACCTGTGACACCCAAATAATTTTATGCATACTCTGACCCAGTCTGAAAAACAGCCATTCATTGCTCACTAACCAAAACAGCAGTTGCTGGAAAAGCTGAGCAGGTCTGGCAGCATCTGTGAAGAAAAAATCAGAGTTAGCGTTTTGGGTCCAGTGACCCTTCCTCAGAACAGACCCAAAACGTTAACTCTGATTTTTTTTCTTCACAGATGCTGCCAGACCTGTTGAGCTTTTCCAGCAACTTATGTTTTTGTTCCTGATTTACAACATCCACAGTTCTTTTGGTTTTTATTAACCATTCATTGCTCCACTGTTTCCTGCCTTTCATCATCTTATCCATGCTACCACTTCCTCTTTCATTTATAACGCTTTATCAAATGACTTTCATTGGGCTGAAATTGAATTACTTGACAAAGTTTCCTGAATAATCTTAGAAACCCTTCTCTTTCTTTGCCACTTATACTATTATTTGTATAATAGTACTGGAAAACTGCTCAGTGAGGGCATTTGATCCTGGGTCTGTTTAGGGGCATCTCCCCTAGAACTGGTCTCAATGTCTTAGGAATTTGTAACTCTCCCTCCTTCATTGACTGTCCAGCTTTGGATGCATCTATTCTATCCTCCAGGTCCCATTCACACTCCCCTGTGGCATTTTGATAATCCATTTTTGAGTTCCTGGTTCTTGATTTCCTTTCTAGGTCCCTTAAACCTGTTTGTACAATTTTATCTCTTCTTCCTCTACGTGTGTTCTTTTTACCAATATGGATTACACCACTGATTGTCCACCCTCAGTGTTCTTCAGCTGCTCAGCGACACCTTGCACTGAGTGAGAGTGAGATGGACTTTAGAGTCATGTATTCACTGCCTGGTCCTCCTTAACTGATGATCAAACATTCCCCTCTTTGTCTGCTCACTTCTATGTTGCAGGGTGACCATCTCAAGAAACATGCTGCCTATCTAGTTTTTAACTTATGGATACACTGCAATGACAGTAGCTGCTGTTGAAGCTCTGAAACCTAGGCTTGGGCTTCACCAACTAACAACACTTAACAGTGAGACATGGGAATCCTGCAGTCTTACGCACACGCCACAGTCCTTTCTGATGTGCATTTTGTGAGACTGAGGTGCCCTGCATTTATTAGACAATGAAATAAATTAGGAGATGGAAACATCAGGAATCAATAAACACCAGCTATTCACCAATTCCATTCCTTCTGCCTACATTACTGTAGCCATGGGTACCTATATAGGCCCTAGTTATACCTGTCCCTTTGTGAGGTTTGTGGAACATTCCTTGTTCCAGTCCTACTTGGGTCCCTCTCCACAACTCCTTCTCTGGTACGTTGATGACATCATCAGTGCTACTACCCCTTTCATCAGGAAAAATTTATCAATTTCACTTTCAATTTCCACTCTACTCTCACCTTCACATGGGCCGTTTCTGATCCCTCCCGTACCTTACTCGACATCTCTGTTTCCATTTTTGGGGATAGTCTAGCCCCCAGCATCCACTCCAAATCACTGAATCCCACAGTTATCTGGACTATACATTCTCACCCCAGCTTTCTGTAAAGACTCCATTCCATTCTCTAAGTTTCTCCATTGCATCTGTTCTGTTGATGCCACTTTCTGCAGGGACCCTCTGAAATGTCCACTTTCTTAATCAAGAATTCTCCATCACTGCGGTTGACGGGGCCCTCACCTGTATCCCGCACTTCTATCTCGCCTCTTCTGTCCCGCAACAGCGATAGCGCCCCCGGGTCCTCACTTTCCTCCTTGTGTCCAAATGATCATAAACCACCATGACCACCACTAGACATGTATTACCCTCCCATCCTTTCTCAGCCTTTCACAGGGACCATTCCTTCCAGGACACCCTGGTCCACTCCCAACACCTCCCTACACCCCATGATATCTTCCCATGCAATCGCAAAGGTGGAACATCTGCCCGTTTTAGTTCCTCCCTCCTCAGAATCCAAAGCCCTAGATACACCTTCAAGTTAAAGCAGCTTCACCCAATCTAGTCTACTGAATACGCTGCTCACAATGTGGTGTCCTCTACACTGGGGAGCTAAAATGTAGATTGGGCATCCACTTCGCAGAACTCCTACGTTTTTCTCCGCAAAAGTGATCTTGAGCTTCCATTTGTCTGCCATTTCAATACAGCGCCATGTTCCTGTGCCACCGCTACTGCAGTGCTCCAGTGAGGCTCAGCGCAAACTGGGAGAACAGCGTCTCATTTACCACTTGGGAATCCTGCAGCCTTACGCACGTATGCACGCAAGCACACGCCATAGTCCTTTCGAATGAAAGGTCGCTGATTCTGGAACAGTGACTCTGCTTTCTCCTCACAGTTGCTGCCAGACCTGCTGAATTTCTCAAGCATTTTCTGTAATTGTTTCAGATTTTCATTATCGGCAGTTCGTTTTTTGATCACTCTCTTATAGTTTGGTTAACATAAATTTTTACTTAGAGTCTGAGATCTATGGATAATGAGTCAGTATTGTGTGGTGGGCAACATTATTTGCTCTGGAGAGGTAAATTCCAAACATGAAAGACCAATTTTAAATTTGAGCTAGATTGCTTAAGGTTGAGGTCAAGGAGCATGTTTTTAGGGGAGGCAATGGCCTAGTGGTATTGTCGCTGGACTGTTAATCCAGTGACCCAGATAATGTTCTGGTCCATGGGTTCGAATCCCACCACAGCCAATGGTGGAATTTGAATTCAATAAATATCTGGAAATAAGAGACTAATGATTGTGAATCCATTGTCGATCGTTGGAAAAACCCATCTGGTTCATTCATGTTCTGTAGGGAAGGAAACTGCCATCCTTACCTGGTCTGGCCCACATGTGACTCCAGACCAAAAGCAATGTGGTTGACTCTTAACGGCCCTCTGGGCAATTAGGGATGGGCAATAAATGCTGCCTAGCCAGTGATGCCCCAATCCCGTGAATGAATTAAAAACAAACAAAGAATAGTGAAAAGTCTGCAACTTTTGCCCTCAAAATGCTTGATGAAACTGGGCCAGTTGATAAACTGAACATTAACTTTGGTAGATTTTTATTGGGGAATATGTGTTAAATGATTTTGCTGTGTATAAAATATCAGTTAGATCCATCACAACATAATCAAATTGAGGAAGAGGCTATGTCTTTAAAACTCCCCAGATATTTCCACACATATATCTTGCTAGGATAGTACATTCCACATTCAATTAAGCCTTTATTTGAAAAAAAATTCTTTTGATCATTGTATTACAATGGTCAATACTTAATTACTTTCAGTTTTATGTGATTTATCACTATGCCTTGTCCTTCAGATTGGTTACTATTAAAATATGAAAGTGAACTCTCTGTCACTTGTGACATGAAACACTCAAATTATCCAGCTAGACTCTGTACTAGAAATTGTATTTCATTCAGTGACTGGGCATGATGGATGTGTCCAAATGGATTGTTAAATTATTATTTACCAATTAATTTGGTCTTTGTTTTTTTATTCTCAGCATCATCTCTAATGGGAATCCAATGCTTGTTTCAACAGGCTGCCATTTGCCGGTGCAGTCAACCACTTTCAGGGTTCAGTGCCAGGTGCGTGGAGGATGAACAAATGCTCCAAGCTATTAGCAAGGCCAACCCAGCAAGTCCATTCATGTATGTGGTGGACACGAGACCAAAGGTATTTTTGTTCATCCAATCATTTTATGGACACGACTTCAAAAGTTAGTAAACTGAATGCTATTAAAATGTGCCTTTGTGTTTCTGATTTGGGAGGAAGAAAATTGGGTCTGGAACTCACCTAATTCCATCAGTGATTCAAATTGAAGGATGTATGCATATGATCATTAGCACCACTGGCAGCCAGAGGACATCCGAGATGGATAGTGAAGCCCAGCCACTTCTGGAGCAGTGATCTTTGATGGAAAGTGGAGCAATGTGGAGTTTCCTGGATTTCTTCCATGTGCTGGACACACCTGTACTGATGCTGTTATGACATCAAATAGCCTTATCAGCTGACGTGAAGTTCTGTTTACAGACTTGAACCAACAACTCCTCTTAACATATTTGCTTTTGTCTGCAGTCATCAGAACATTCCACAACATCATTTCAAGGTGTAAATGAGTTTTGTACTGCATGAGAGGCGATTGCTGATTTGGCAAGTTGAGTGTAATTTTAGAGGCTTTGGCGTGTAGAATGCAAATATTGCTGATTAACAGTTAATAGCTAGGCTTTGTTTAAATTTTAAATCAAGTAGGCTCACTCTGATTCATAAGGAAATTGCCCTGAGAAATGAACTGGAGAATGGCTGTTACCTGTTTTGTTGAGTTTTAGAGTCAGAGTCGTACAACACGGAAACAGACTCTTCGGTCCATGCTGACCATAAGCCCAAACTAAACTAGTCCCACCTGCCTGCGCTTGGCCCATATCCCTCCAAACGTTTCTTATTTATGTACTTATTGAAATGTCTATTATACATTGTAATTGTACCCGCAATCACCACTTTCTCTTGAAGTTCATTCCACACATGAACCACTCTCTGTAAAAAATTGCCTCATGTATTTTTAAAATCTTCTTCCTCTCACCTTAAAAATATGCCCCTTAGTCTTGAACTCCCCCACCGAAAGAGAAGAGCATTGAAAAAAGTTGAAACAGACACATTACACGCACATGTTCTTTATGTCTGCAAAGAACCAGGCCTTGTGAATTAATATTTGTGGCTTCCAGAACACACAAGTGTCACTTGGTTTGTCAGACTGGCAATCCTAAATTGGTTGTCAGGTAATCTTTTGCGCATTCAGGATTATCTAACAAATGTCCAAATGCAGAATCACATGTAATGTTAGGCACTGAACAAGATTTGCAAGAGCAGGATAGTTGTGTCCAGTCAGTACCTTGCTTGTTGAGAACAGCTGAACAGACATGCTCTTTGATACTATCGCCAATCTTAGGGACATATTTCTAACGTACTTAACTGGCACTAAAATTCAGATACTATGTTACTTATTTGTGGGATGGGCAGAACATTATTTTGACTTGATGACAGTATCTTGTTAGTTGCAAATACCATTACTGCATAGCAGTGATGTGAAACAGTTTGTTCCACCTGTTGCTCAAACCTTCGAGATACGTTGCTCTTCCACAGTAATAGGGTGTAGAGTGGGCACTTTTCAGTACCAAGAGTAACAGCTTGGGGCTTTCTTTATTTTGTCCAATATACAGTGAGAATTGATCTGATCAGGGTAACCATTATCTTGCAAGATAGCTTTGATGTGCCCAACACCAGTGTCAAGTTTTTATTGTGAACAAATGGCTACTTATTTGGTAATAATTAGCCCTACTTGCAAAGTTGCCATGGAAAGTGCATGGAACTGCCGCAACATATATGCTGACCGATGGGGCTGGGTTTGTGATTTCTCAACCAGAATGTCAAGGAAAGGGAACTCATTTGACTGTTACTTTTCAAGTATGATTTTTAGTGCAGGATAGAGCTTATGAAGACATGTCATGATATTATTTCATGCAGCTGCAAATACAAATGTGGCATACATGTCAACTGCAGATTGGAAATATGCAAAGGGTAGAAGGTTAAGTGTCATTTCTTTGAAGGTAAGTTTCTCGTGGTATCCGACAAAGATATTTGTAAGCGCTGGGGCTAGTGGGGACTCCATGGCAGCAACACCTATTTGAGCAATCGTGTTGTGGTTGAAACTGAACTGAACTCAACTGCACAAATTGCTGAATTCATTAGTTCAACATGAAATGATGGCTGGTTTAAATCACCATGATATGGTGCTGCAGCGCAGATGTCACTGGCTTCTTTTTGTAGTACTTTACTGAATGGCTAACAATGTCAGTGAACATGTGGACAGTGTATCACTATGGATATGCAAGTCCTAAAATCCTTCACCGTGTAAGTGGAAGACTTGGTCAAAACTGGTTGTAGCAATTCACCAAATCAGTTGGCAGTTCATGTTGTGCAAATCTGGTCATAAATAAGATAGGGCCTAAAAGGAATATCACTGTTGTGTCTTGGACAATCTGTACATGGACATGGTGAGATGTGAGGAGGAACACAATTTTATTTGTCACTTGGCAACATACATTGCTCTTGTACAAGTACAGCAAATGCTCTTCTTTTTAAGTTTTCTTCTGTGTTAGGCTGTCTGGCCATGCTGAGTGGCAGGTCCAATGGATGCAGATTTGGACCTGTCAATGCTGATGACCAATTTTGGATTGTCAGTCATCTTGGGGTAAGGCACACTGAATACTTGAAGCTACAGTTGCAGCCACATGTACCATTTATAAGATACACTGCAGAAATTCACCAAAGGTCCTAAGACTGCACCTTCCAGACCTGTGATCCCAACTGTCTAGAAGGACAAGAGCTGCAGGTACATGGGAAGACCACCACGTGGGTTCACCTCCAAGCCACTAACCATGCTAGGAAAATGTATCGATTCCTTCAGTGTTGTTGGGTCTAGTTCTTGGAATTCCCTTCCTAACAACATTGTGGCCCTGCCTACAGAATATGGACTACCGTGATTCAAGAAGGTAGCACAACAACACCTTTACAAGGACAACTAGAGACTGGCAATAAATGCTGGCCCAGCCAGTGATTCCCACGTCCCATGTGTCAATAAAAAATAATTTACACAGGGCCTTGGTGAGGCTACAGTTGGAGTATTGCATGCAGCTTTGGTCTCCCTACCTAAGAAAGGATATCCTTGTGGTAAATGGAGTGCATTGGAAGTTTGCAATATTGTTACTAGGGATGGTAGGACTGTGCTATGAGGAGAGATTGCTTTGATTTAGCCTGTATTCACTAGACTTTAGAAGGATCAGAGTGCACCTGATTGAAAAGTATAACATTCTAACCTGACTAGACAGATTAAATACATGGAAGATATTTTCTCTGGTTGAGGAGTCTAGATCAGCAGATGGTCTCAGGATATGGGCTTAACTATTTAAGACTGAGAAGAGGAAACATTTCTTCACTCGCAGGATAGTGAACTTGTGGAATTCTCTATGAGAGAAGGCTTTGGAGGCCAAGTGATGAATACATTCAAGAAAGAGACATAAATTTTCAGATTTAAAAGGCATCGAGAGGTATAGGAAGAAAGTGAGAATATAGAACAAAGCCTGACTGTTAACTGTTTATTAGCATTAATGGGTGTATTCCCCATGGCAATGCCTCTATCCAATCAGAATCCAATCAGCACTGTTCCCTCATGCAGTACAAATATCAGCTTTCCCCTTGAATTTTTTTCTTGCAAAATGTCCTGATAGGCTCATGATGAGAAGCTTTGATGAAATGTGTTTTTTCAGCAACACACAAGTTCCGTGCTACCAAACAACTATATCTGCTTTTCACTCACCACAGGATATGTGGTTGAGTGCAGGACAGGGTCAAATATAGTGTTGTTCAAAGAGCAAAGCAAGAGCAAAAATTTCAGGTAGGATACTTTTGCAGAACATGTTCTTATTGCCAAGTTTTGAAGTTTTTTTGCTGAGTTCCTGAATTGGGTCTAGAGTAGTGCAGAGGATTTGATGACAGGCCACAGAAAGACTGCAACAGGTATGGGAGTTGCATTTGCATTTCCTCTTGGTCTGCAACATTACAGGGGGGGTGGGGTACAGGCTATGATGAGGGTACATTTTGTGCAGTGCCCTTTGCCAAGTTTGAGCAGGCCTCCTCCGTGCTCCTTAACAATGACAGGAAACGGTTTGACAGGACAGCCAGTGCATTCACCATCTTCGGTTGCTTTCTCCTCAATGTTCTTCTGTATGCCACTCTTATCAAACCTTCATCTGAGTCCCTTGTAGTTGTACGTATCCATGATATCACTGTATAGTAAGCTGATTTATGAAATATTCTTTCCACCAGGCCTGCTGCAGCCTACTCATGCTAGTGACTCACCATAAGCAGAGATCCCAAATCTACATGATCTTCTAGGGTGTAATGCTAATACCTGAGCTGTTGGCTGTGTCAGGTCAAATGATTAACCTCTTAGTGAAATCAATACTATTTGGGGAGGCGATGGCCTAGTGGTATTATCACTGGACTGTTAATCCAGAGACCTAGATAACATTCTGGGGACCCGGGTTCGAATCCCGCAATGACAGATAGTGGAATTTGAATTCAATAAGTATCTGGAATTAACAATCTAATGATGACCATGAATCCATTGTCAATCGTTGGAAAAAACCCATCTGGTTCACTGATGTCCTTTAGGGAAGGAAACTGCAATCGTTACCTGGCCTGGCCTAGTCTAGATGTGACTCCAGACTCTCAGCAATGTGGTTGACTCTGAACTGCCCTCTGGGCAATTAGGGATGGGCAATAAATGCTCCCTAGCCAGTGATACCCTCATCCCGTGAATGAATAAAAAGAGTATATACCCTCTATCTTCCGCTTTTGTAGTACAAGCAGAAGTTGCTCTGAGAAAGGGAAATCAGGAAGGGTACATTGAAGTGAGGGGAAGCAAGAGGTCTGTGGCCTCATCTGCATCTTGACCATGAAGGTACATAGCAGGATATTGATGGAACAGTGAATAGGAGCTGTTATTTGAAGGTGCATTCCTTAATCTTGACCACCCATGTGAATCCCTGTACTTGTGGCCCTGTTGCCTCCTCTCTGGTCAGGCTCTGGGAATGAATTTCCTAATCCTCCTCGAAGGTGTTTTTTGATAGTTTGGTATCCCCCCAGTTGTGTCCTTTTCCACCATTAAGCTGTTCAGCTCAAATGTTAGTTATTTTCCTTGTTTAGAACTTTAGTTGTTATATTCAGCAGCAGGCTGCTATGATTCAAAGCAACTGCAGTTTAAAAGGAGCAGACTGTTTACACCATCTGCTATTTGTGATCACTGCTCAGTCGCCTACCGAGTACTCGGGCAGCCAACAGCATGGGTGCCGTTCAGAACAGTGTTACAGTCGGGCATCCCCAAGTTTGAATGCTGACTACCTCCCTAGAAACAGGTTATGAGAAGGTCACAAGTCATGACTCCTGCATCCAAAAACTGCGGACAGTGCTTCGTCATTTATATATAGATGACAGGTGAGAATAGCATGAGATTCAGCTGTGGTACCTCCCTATTAAGGATCGTAACATACTATGGAGTACAGATTTATTCTTCTGGGTGCTCAAATCTGTAGGTTGCACTTCACTATTATTGCTGCAAAAGGGCTAAAAGAATCCAAAAGAAATCATCTTTAAATTATGATTGAAAATGTCGTTTATTTATATAACTTGAGAAGATGGAAGAAAATGCAGAATGGTTTCCTAAATTGGCATTCAGGTTTTAAAATTATTTTAACCTTTGGAGCAAGACAAATTGAAGACCATAGAAGTGTAACTACTGAATATACGCTTGTAACAGGTGAGAATAAAAATCCAAATCAGAAAACAAATAAATCAAAACTGCAGGGATAATGTTCAACAGTATTGATTTCTTTTTACAGTTAAATGCCATGGCAAACAGAGCTGCTGGAAAGGGATACGAAAATGAAGATAATTATTCCAACATTAGATTCCAATTTATTGGTATTGAAAACATACATGTAATGAGAAACAGTTTACAAAAGCTTTTAGAAGGTAATGCTTATTTTCTGTTCCAGCTATGACTTGTTTGTTAAAAGACAAATATGTTTATAAATTTAATGGTTAAAAAATTAATCTGAAAATTAATCAGAAAAGTAATTGTGGTTTTAGTGCTTGATATTGCATTGGTACTTTTAACTACTGACGAATCCTTAATTGAATTTATGTACGGCTTCTGATATAACAAATATCAATCAAGTCAACAGGTCTTGGGATCTTTGATCTGCATGACTGAGCCACAAAAACAAATGATGGAAATCACAAACAAAAATAGACAGTGATAGAAACTCAGCAGAACAAATACCATATGCGGAAAGAGAAATGGAATTAATGTTTTAGGTCGTTTACTTCACATCAGGCTTCGTAGTGTACTGGCTGGTTGCTTGATTATTTACCCTGGGGCTTCTCAAATGTGATTGCAAGGACCTCTAAGCAAGAGGTTTTCAACAGGTCTGCCAAAAGCAAATATTGAATTTAGGTCTTGCAATTAAAACATTACCATATTCGTAGGAGTCCCAGCATTAGTGACAGTGTCTTTGCATTTTTTGTAGCCAAGGATTTTTTTAAACTTTAAAGCTCTTTATTTCCCTTGGTTGTCTTTCTTTAAACATAGAACAGCTTTGCTGAGAATAATTTCAATTTACGTTACTCAGATCAAACCTTTCCACATTAACCCCTACTCTCTTTTAACTATTCTGTCATATTGCTGTTCACTTTTTTGATTTAAGAATCTTGACTTTTGAGCATTTTTTTGAATTCTGCCGCAACGCAGACCAAGTCAACCAAACGTCTGTGTTTTATCGGACAACCTGTCATAAATAAAATGACTGTATATATTTTTAATGTAATCACTTTTTCTTTATCTACATTAAACAATCTCCCTTTTTGTTTTCTTTCTTTGGGTTTTCTTGTTCACTGTCACTTGTAATGGACACACAAGGCCTTTGCTGAGTTTATATGCAGTAAGACAGGTTCATTAAACACAGCGGACTTGGTGTATAATCTATGTAGGGGGATGAAGGTAGGCATAACAACTGGTACATACAATGTCAGATGTAATTTAACAGCCCCTGGCTTGACAGGGAATCTACACAATAGTTTTGAATTTGTTATCACGGACAATGCTGAACGTTATGCATAATTCTAATAACAGAGCTCAACGTTGATCTATTATGATAGTCTAACTGATAATTTGTGTTGTATAATAAACTTAGGTATAAAATAAGCGTATAGGCCTCCAGTGATTAACTGCACTAACACAATGTGATGCCAGCATAGGAGTATCAAATGACAGCAGGAGGGCCTCCAATATCTGCTGGAAAAGTAAAAGTCAGTTAGATTCACACACTTAATTTCTAGCTCAAATTTCTGTTGAAAAGTGTACATTTGCAGACATCACATGAAACATGATCATGTTAGTTATATTGCTGCTGAATGCAGTGTTGTTTCTTCTGCAGCACAAAAAATATTGCTTATGTTTGGTCAGTCTGGTAATACAAAGCTGGATTTTTTTCATTAATGACATAAATGAACATTAAGTACCAAACACAATGCACACTGATTATGCCATGGAAAGTGTGTTTTTAGAAGTTGCCTCCCTTTCAGGACAGAACTGTCGCTGGTGCTATGTGATAAATTTTGCATTAAACAAAACAATAAAAATGTATATGTACTTGCAAAATTATTTTATATATATATATAGGTCGATCCTTGTGCTGCAGGGTTCCATGAGAGGGCCCTCAGAAGCAAAATGGTAGAGAAGAACTGTTGCCGATCATCAAAGCAATTTATTGGAATAAGCGTTAAATGTTGCATACATAATTAATTTTAAAATTTTGTTCTATCAGGGTACATAATAAATGACTGATTAATGGAGCGCAAACATGAAGGTGTTATAACTTCTAAACTTTTCCTCTTGCTGTTTCCTCTTTAATCCTATAACCACAAGGGCAAGCCATACATAATGAGATTTTACTTCACCATTTCTGCATTTGCAATGTATGCTTGAGGGGAGCCAATTAAAACTCAAATTGCATTAAAATTAGAAATTAATTATTTTAGAAAATAGTTAAAATTGTTCAGAAATGTATGACCGTTATTAGACCATTACTCTTCTTCAGCCCTGAGGAATTGAAGAAGATGGTAAATTACATTCACTTGGATCTCTGATATCAAAGCACCTGTCCTTGGCTAAAACGTTTCCTCTTTTTATTTCATCCTGGCTTTACCCCTTTAATTCTGTCCTTAACTGAAGACACTGACTTGTGCTTAAGTGCTACCACATGGGTATACCTTGGCACTGACAGATAATTTAAGTTAAGAATTTCCCAGACAAAACTGAGTCACACTGTATATTCCAATTGAGATTGCTCAATAGTCATTAGAAGTGAAACTCAGATGTTCTTCAATATAAAATAGCAAAAATGTTGGAAACTTGTAAGTTGACAGCATCTGTGGAGAGAGTAATGTCCGCTCATATTTTCCTATCTCTCCACTCTGCTGTTTCTGTTCAGTCGTACATATTCATAAAATGCATTGATAAAGTTAATTATTCATTTATAGTTAAATATTTTGATTTGAAGATTACACTATGGAAGACGTCCAAAATATGTATAGAAAAGCTCACTGTTACATAGAGAACATAGAACATTACAGCGCAGTACAGGCACTTCGGCCCTCGATGTTGCGCCGACCTGTGAAACCAATCTGAAGCCCATCTAACCTAAACTATTCCATTATCATCCATATGTTTATCCAATGACCATTTAAATGCCCTTAAAGTTGGCGAGTCTACTACTGTTGCAGGCAGGGCATTCCACGCCCTTACTACTCTCTGAGTAAAGAACCTACGTCTGACATCGGTCCTATATCTATCACCCCTCAATTTAAAGCTATGTCCCCTCGTGCTAGCCATCACCATCCGAGGAAAAAGGCTCCCACTGTCCACCCTATCTAATCCTTTGATCATCTTGTATGTCTCTATTAAGTCATCTCTTAACCTTCTTCTCTCTAACGAAAACAGCCTCAAGTCCCTCAGCCTTTCCTCATAAGACCTTCCCTCCATACCAGGCAACATCCTGGTAAATCTCCTCTGCACCCTTTCCAATGCTTCCACATCCTTCCTATAATGCAGTGACCAGAACTGTACGCAATACTCCAAGTGCGGCCGCACCAGAGTTTTGTACAGCTGCAACATGACCTCATGGCACAGAACCTCTTTCATTGCATTGATAAGTACTTTTGAATGTTTTCTGTGTAGGACACCTTCTGCAGATATTGACATGCTTTCCGATCCTCTTCTAATGTTGTGCTAGTGAGGTATAAGAGCAACAATGCTATGATTTCAGAAAGTATTATGGAGGGATGCTCCTACTTCAGTAAACATGGAAAGTAAAGCATTCCAATTACCCTCAAATTTGGGAACCTCAAACAGCTTTACCTTTTGTCTGTCCTTTATGATCTTCATTTGTTTAATGAGTCATGGGAAAGAAAATGTTACAAAATAAAGTTTTTAAAAATTTTTTTTAGTATGTGAACTGAAGGCCCCATCAATGAGTGAGTTTCTCATTGGCTTGGAAAATTCTGGGTGGCTTCGTCACATTAAAGCAGTCATGGATGCTGGTGTCTTTCTAGCAAAGGTAATGGATTGAACTTTTTTTTTTGGCCTTGTCTTTTGTGCCTTTTCTAGCATGTATTGAATTCTGATTGTAATTTGCAACTGTGGCAGAATCTACAATTGACATGATTCTGAACTCTATAGTCTCTGCTTAAACTCTACTGCCTTGTTTGTTACATCTTTAAAGCTGCCTTATGGTGTACTTCTTTAGCTAGACTTTTGTAAACTCTTCAAATTAGAATTTAGTGTCTACTTATTTTTGTTTCTTTTATTTCTGCATAGTTCTGCTTTTCCTAATTGTTTCCACGACTTCTTGCATTTACTTATTGTAAAAACCGCATTTTTTATTTTTCTTTATTTTTGTGGACAGAAATGAGGAAAGGGCCATTTTTAATCAAGAACTGTGGAAGGAATTGCTGTACATTTTTTAAAAAAATTACTGGAACTTGTCATGAGTTGAATTTACATTGTTGCATTGCAAGCCGCAGGGAAGGAGAAGTGAGATGGCATGGTACTGGGCTGTGTGTGTGTGTGTGTGCAAAGTGAGATTTGTCTGGCAACAGATTGATGTTGGTTTTGTGAATTTGTAATCAGTTGTGAATGCCAGAGATTGTCAGCCTGACTACAGCTTGTTAGAGTTAAATAATTTGCAGCCAAGACACTTGGGGGGAAATAATGTTTATTTATAGCTTTACAATCTACTTGACAAAGTGAGCAGATTCTCAAGCCCCACTTTTCCTGAGGTCGCCACAAAAGTTAGTGACTTGGTCAAAAAATGCAGTGTTCCCAATTGACCTTTCTGATGGAATAAAATTAACAGAAAACACTGGCCAGATTTCTAGAGATAGTGGGAACTGCCGATGCTGGAGAATGAGATAACAAAGTGTAGAGCTGGATGAACACAGCAGCCAAGCAGCGTCAAAGGAGCAGGAAAGCTGACATTTTGGGTCTGGACCCTTCTTCAGAAAAAGATTTCTGTTCTTAACAAGGACAACTGTTTATTGCAAATAATTTAGTTCTGGCTACAGGTAAACAGAACAATGAAGCATCATTGAAACTGTAACTCCCTTTTGAAAGCTGGGTTGGTTCCTGGGGCAGCTGAACAGCTGGTCTGTGACAACAATACAGACAGAAGGTCTCTGGCCTGTCACTCTTTGTCTGCAGTAAAAGTAACCGAAGCCTGAAGAAAATCAGTTATTTTCTTCCATCAGTTGCTGTAATCTATTTCCCTTAACCAAGTAACTAAGATATTTTATAATTAATGTACAAATCACTTTGTGCCTCTTGCAAAGAAATGAAAGAATCCAGAAAGGAAATTGGAGAATAGAAGATCTTGGGAAGCGAAAGGAATATCTTATCAAATACTGTGGACTGGTGCCATCGAACCATGTTTCCCTAGTATTTCTCCTCCACCATAATACCAATGTTTTTCTTTTGTCTTTGACTGTCTGTATGTGTGTAGGAGTTTTAAAAGGGGTTAGAGTTTCAAATAGTAGAATTAAATGTTAACAGTTTGTGGTTTTGTTCAGCTGTGACTAGAATTTATTTAGCTGTAATAGACAACAGTTCATGTTTAGTAAACAAATCTAGTAAATGTTTTCTATTAAGCTGATTCCATCAGCCAAGTAAACTGGGGATTTTGCTTACTTTGATTAAAGCACTATTGTGGTGACCCCAGAAGTCGTGGGGTACAAGAATCAGTGCACGTTCCCAAATTTTTTTATTCAGTCATGGAATGTGGGCGTCACTGGCCAAGTGAACATTTACTGCCCATCTCTAATCATCCTAAGAGACAACCATATTGCTGTGGGTCTGATGTCATATGTATGCCAGACTGGCTAAGGACAGCAGATTTACTTCCCTAAAGGGCATTAGTGAACAAGATGGGTTTTTCTGACAATCAACAATGGTTTCATGATCATCATTATACCCCCCTAGATCCAGATTCTTTATTGAATTCAAATTCCACCAACCGCCATGGTGGGATTTGAACCCAGGGACCCAGAACATTAGCAGAGATTTTGGATTAATAGTTGAGATGTTGCCTCCCCCAGTGGGTTATAATACTATAGGCAAACATTTTCATATTGTATTGACATTTAAGTGCTCTTGACAATAGTCCTTCCTGTCCCCTGACATACTGCTATTCTGTGGTTTTAATGGATTATCACTTTATTGGAAAGAAGGAAAAAAATCAAATTTGTATAAAAATGATGGTATTTATAGATGACCTGTTTAAAGTTGCTTGTTTTCTTTCATTGATGGTAGGCAGTGTCTGAAGAAAATGCCAGTGTGTTAGTCCACTGTTCTGATGGGTGGGATCGTACTGTTCAAGTTTGCTCATTGGCTGCCCTCCTCCTGGATTCCTACTACCGGACAATAAAGGGATTTATGGTGAGGATGTTCATAGTGAACTCGAGTGATTGAAAATTTGTCTACTTTGGCTATTTCGAAAGATGTTTTATTGTACATTACTTAATCAGGTTATGATCCAAACACACTTTGCTATTAAACAAAAATTACTTTTTAGGCCCCGTTGTGATAGCATTATCCTGGATTATGCCGAACAGATGATGCCAATTGAATTGTTTATCTAGCCAGCCTTTGGGAGGGGTGAGGAGTGGTTGAACCTGGGTTGAATATCAAAGATGATAGCACTGGCTCCATAATTTGTTTTCGGGTTTTGACCGGTGGGGAGAAAACCACATTTGGATTCTTCCCCATAATTATTCAAACATTTTTGCATTAAAATGTACAGTTATAGACATAGGAGTGTCCAATTAAGATCTCGCTGTGCAGTCCTCATAGTGAAATGATTTTAATTACCTGCCAAGATTTTATGTTCCCACAGAAAGCAATGCTGAGGTACTAAAGAACTAATGAAACTCAAGGGACCATATCACAGCATTGATCAGCACCTTCGGAGAAAGGAGGAACTTATTTTTAACATTTGTGTTGGAAGCTGCAATAAATGAATATGGGTTGAAATATCATTTTTTTTGCTCCTTATCGTTTATTTTAAATACAGATACTTTTCAAAAACACAGTCAAGTGCTGTTGGATTTTTTTGGGCAATCTTCTCTGTGATCAACACTGACATTCACATTTGCGAAGTGTTAACTAGATAATATTGAACAGTAGCCACCTCATAACTTTTTCTTCTCCGTGGGGAAGTGGTAGTAGAGTCATTATTGTGGTGTTTACTGTGCACTGGCTGAAATAATCACAGATTGAAGTTGAATTACTTGAGCTAAATAACTCATTTTTTAAACAAAAGTTTTAACTGTTTTATTGTAAATGTTATGACTTTTGATTTCTACGTTTTTTTCCTGCATTTCTCATCTTAATAGCATTAGTAATATCTTTTGGCATACACGTTTAATGGGAATGTTTCATACAATGGTAGTTTTTTTTCACTGATATAAAGAATCAAGAACAAAGAACAGTATGGCACAGGAATAGGCCCTTTGGCCCACCAAGCCACTGCTGACACATGATGCCTTTCTAAACTGAAAGCCTTTTGCTCCTACACAGTCCGTATCCCTTTATTCCATCTATTCCTGTATCTGTTAAGATGCCTTCTTAAATATTGCTATTGTATCTGCTTCTACCGCCTCCCCTGGCAGTACATTTCAGGCACTTATCACCCTGTATTCAAAAAAAAAACTGCCTCTCTCATCTCCTTTAAACTTTCATCCAGTTACCTTAAACCTATGTCCTCTTGTAACTGACATTTCTGGCTTGGGAAAAAGACTTCAACTATCCATTTGGTCCGTGCCTCTCATAATTTTGTAAACTTCTATCAGATTGTCCCTCAGACTCCAATATTCAAGTGAAAAGAAACCAATGTCTTTGTCCAATCTCTTATATCTAATTCCCACCAAACCAGACAATATCCTGGTAAACCCTTTCTGTACCCTCTCCAAAGCATTCACATCCTTGTAGTTGTGTGGCAACCAGAACGGGGATGCAATGTTAGTCATATCTAAAATGTAAATAAAAAATGAATCTGGCAAAATAATTAAGATCTGAAGGAATATGTCTTCAGACCTAGAAAAGGTTAATTTTCAACGTCAGAGGAACTGTCCTAAACTAATTAAAATGTAAAATCCCATTTAAAAATTCACTTCCATTTGAGTAATCCCTAAAGCTATTGACATGTTTAATGAGTATTAATGTCCTGCCAAATTTTTTTGTTGTATGGGGCCTATTAATTTTGAACGCAGAGGTATTTAAACTTGTTTGTATGATACATGTGGCAACTTAGAGGTTCGGGTGTGCTTAGTCTGCAACAACTTCTGGATTGCTACACAGTTTGGAGGAACACTGTGCTTTGTAGTGTGTAAATATCCCAATTTCAAGTCATTCATCTGTTATAGCATTGAGTCTCTTGGCAAGGTATCCTTTCAACTTATTGATTTCTGCATTTAGCCATGTGGGTGTGGTTGGCAGGATTGGTCTCCTGACTGACTCTTCTCTTATGGTTTACATTAATGGCTTCACTTTTTCACTGTTACTGTAAAATATTGGTATTGCCTTTCATGCACTGGAAGTAGGTCTTAGGGTATGTCAATATTTGCAGGAAATTTTTTGACAGGGAATTTTTCAAACTACTTCCTTACCCAGACATTGTTGGTGGAATTACCATGTTTCGAAAAAAAACAATCAATTTTTGTGACATTGAAGGCTGAAACTGTGAAATTAACCAGTCACTATGGAGATAGCATTGAGGAAGGTTGATCCTTAAGTATGACTGAGAGCATTGACAGCGTTTGACCATAGACTGGCAGTGTGATATAGGTGAAAAAATATGGTCGCAACAACAGAATGAATTAGAAGGAGGAATCTCATGCTTCAATAATTGAGCAGTGTTTGAAGTTTCCAGATGTGGGATGAGGAGCTGCCCAAAAGTTTGAAGCCTGGACCTAAGCAAATAAAGATGTCATTTACATAATGATTTAAAAACAAATTAACTATTTCAAAAGAGTATTAAATTGTAAATACAACAAAAGTACTATAGCTCTTAAATTGCTGATTGAAATGTACAGGAACTGCATGTGGATCGAGAAAATTATCAACAAAAGAATGTACTTATGTCTTTCTTGTTTTCAAGGTTCTTGTAGAAAAAGAATGGATCTCAATGGGACACAAATTCTCCCAAAGGTAATCACCTACTTTTTCATTGCTATTGTAGATGTGTATGAATCAATTTAGTTTCTCAGTAATAAGTAAATGTTTAAAGAATATCGAAATGTAATGGTAATCTTCCCTAGACATCCGAATGGGTAAAGGCATCGCATGGTCTAGTACTGTTAAGTCATAGGAGACAAAAAGGTCCAGGTCCAATTGCTGCTATTTGCATAATTTGTTGATCTTAATCAAGATGATAGTGAGATGACTTAAATATTTTTGAATTATAAAATAACATTTGTTACTGTGAAATAACTTAAAACTGCATATGGTTGAGATCCAGCCGTCAATTACAGGAATATCCTTCTTTTTTTCTCTCTCCTGCTCTCTTTTTCTCTCTCTCTCTTGCTCACACTCATTTTTTCTTCCCTCACTTCAGTTATTCTTTTCAAATGCTGAAACTCCCACATAGAAACAAAAAAAGTTGCTTATGGAGTTGTACTTAGCAAAAATTGGAGGTGATATGAACAAAACATTGTAACTGTAAAGAATGTTAGACTTGAAGACTGACTGTAATAGGTTTGTGGGTTTATGCCAGTTATTTCAATTATTATGTTAGATGTTTCAGTTTGGTAGTACAGCCACTCTGGATTAGAAAGTTGAGTTCTTGTTGCTCTCCTATACTTGAATGCATAATGTACTGCATAGAAGATTGTTCTTGTTATGAACTTGACCCCATGAAAGGGCAGATGATGTGGTATTGTTTTGAAGAAGGAGATGCCCTCTACTATGATTCCTTTCTTAAGAAATATTGTTGAGTGACAATTGCTTGCCTATTCCTGTTTCTTATATTCTTAGTTATGTTACTTAGTCCAAAATTAATTATTGTATGAATTTAATAGATCTGTTCTTTCTTTCAATACAAATTTATTTTTTGTTCTAGCAAATTTGTATTTCAGCAATGGCTGGAAGGCCTAACGCTGTGATGCAAGGTTAGAACATCAGAACCCAGTTTTGGCCTCTTTAAAGGATAAATAGTTGTACATTAATCTGGGATTTTGCTTCAGCACATCAACTAAGACCCTAATCCATACCTCTTGTTATCTCCAGGTTCAATTGTACCAAATTTCCTACTAGCTAGCAACTCACCTCCCCGCCCCCATAAGATTAATTTCATCCAGAACTCCTTTGCCTGTACCTTAATGTGCACCAAGTCCCATTCATTCATCCCTCCTGGGTTCTGAATCACAGTGTTACACCACGAAAGAGGTAATTTGGCCCATTGTGCCTACACAGGCTCTTCAGTTGAGCATGACAACCTACTGCAAATCCCCTGCCTTTTCTTTATACCCCTTACATGTTATTTCTATCCAAATGAATCACCTAATGTTCAGTTGAACCTGCTTCTGGTACACTTCCAAACAGAAAATTCCATGTCCTGACTATTCACTGTCTGATAAAGTTTTCTTTCACTCGCATTTGCTTCCATGTGCAAATCGTTTATATTTGTGCTTTCGTGTTCTTGAGCCTTTTACAAGTGGAAACATTTTTTCCCTATCTACTGTATCCAGCTCCCTCATTATTTAAAAAAAAAACCTCTATCACAACTCCCATTCGCCTTTTCTTTCCAAGAAGAACAATTCCGACTTCTTCAATCTATGCTCATAACTGAAATTTCTCAATCCCTGAAACCATTCTTAAAATGCTTCTGCACTTTCTCCAATGCTTTCACATCCTTCCTAAAATACAGCACCCAGAACTGTACATAATACTGTAGCTAATGTCTAAAAGTGTCTTAGACAAGTTCAGCATCAGTTCCTTGCTCTTGTCCTTATTAATAAAGCTAAGAATACTCTATTAATTGCTCTCTACCAGGACTCCTTAGTACCTTCCAAACCCACAACCACTTCCATCGAGAAGGACAAGGGCAGCAGATACATGCAAACATCTCCACCTGCAAGTTTCCCTCCAAGCCACTCATCATCCTGACTTGGAAACATATCACTGTTCCTTCAGAATTGCTGGATCAAAGTCCTGGAAACACTTCCCCAATTAATCATTGGTCTACTTACAGCAGTTCAAGAAGGCAGCTCACAACCACCTTCTCAAAGACAACAGGAGATGAGCAATAAATGCTGGCCGGCCAGTTATGCCCACATGCCATGAGTGAATGAAAAATAACTTGTCCTGCCATCTTCAGTGATCTATTCATATATATACTCAGGTCCATCTGTCCCTGCTCCCCCTTTAGAGCTATGTGGAATTGAGGGTTACCTCAGTTTCTAAATTTTCATCCTTGATTTCATCATGTCAGTTGATGAAATTTGAATTTCAATTAATAATTCTGGAGTATAAAGCTTGCCTCAATGTGGCCGACATGTGACTCCAAACCCGCAGCAATGGTCGACTGAAGTAGTCTAGCAAGCCCATCCCTAATTGCCTTTGAACTGAGTGGTAACAAACGCTGCCCTTGCTAGCGGTACTCTCATATTGTGAAAGAATATATTTCGAAAATACCTCCATGGCTCACCCCTCCTGAGCTCTGTAACCTCCTTGAAATCTGCATCCCTCAACTTCTGGCTTTTGCTTTGTATGGCCAATTCATTTCAACAATGTCTTTAGCTGCAAAGCTGGAATCTCTCCCTAAACCACTCTGCCCAGCTGCTTCTCCTTGCGGAGACTCCTTAAAACCTATCTATTTGACTACATTTTTTTTAATCAGTTGTGCTGATGTGGTTCTATGTCAAATTTTGGTGGATAAATCATTTTTTTTGTAAAATACCCCCAAAGGGTATTTTATAATGTCAAAGGCACAATGTAAATTCCAAATTGTTTTCAGGGAATGGAGGTAGTGCAACCAAGGTCTCTGTCCAGATTACAATCCAAGGTCTTCTACAAAGAATGTACTTTGTATGTACATTGTGAGAGTAGAGGATTGAGCTCTGATATTTGAAAAATGTGTCATGATACATGATTGCATGTAAAGAAAGATGTCAAATTGGGCCAACATGTATGAACACGGGTCCTTCAGATCTGCATGGAATTAGCTTGGAAGGGGAAATAAGTACCATTTCAGTTGGGGGCTTCATTATATGTGAGATTGGACATTTTCATTAATTTCTTTTTAAATATTTTACAGATGTGGGCATCTAGAAGCTGACCCTAAAGAAATTTCTCCTGTATTTACCCAGTTTATTGAATGCACTTGGCACCTGCTGGAACAATTTCCATGTGCTTTCGAGTTTACTGAGAATTACTTGTTGGAGATCCATGACCATGTATTCTCCTGTCAATTTGGCAACTTTATGGGAAACTGCCAGAAAGAACGCCAGGAATTAAAGTGAGTAGGAAGACTGTGCATGTTACAAATGAATTAAGTGAGAGTTGTTAGGATTCAGAAAACCTTAGCGAATTTGAGTTTATTGCTACACTACTGTCCTATTTAGTCATCAATCATCACAAGCAATGTATTTTCAAGTAGATCTGGGTTCCATTATTTATTTTTGATGACTAGTTGTAAACTGTTCAGTCCAATATTGTTAATCAAGAGATTTATATTGATTAATTTGCAATGACAAATACAAGGAGGAGATAAACCAGAGCTCCGGAATTATGCCAAATTAGCTAATCTCAGTCAGAACAATGGAAGTGCTACAGACAAGTTCAACAGCTCTAACTGGGAAACATGTCCTATTCTTAAATGCTGTATACTTTTTTCATTGTGAGTGTACACATGTGTACATGAGGTCATGTTGAGGTTATGTCTGAGATGTTCTCCATGACTGAGTAACTTGTTGGCAACTGCTCATTTAGCTCACATTTGTAAAGTGGCCATTTGGATGAGGTAACCGAGAGCTCCAAAACTCACTTAACTGTCTCGCATTTCACGTTTGGTGCTTTCAAGAGCAAAGGAGAGAATTTGATTTGAAGTCAGCACTTGCATGTCAATTTTCATCATTGTATCATGTTTGTTTTTTTAATGATCTGAAAATCCTGCCATTACACTATGAGTTTAAATAAATGCCCAACGAGGTGGTAAAATAGCTTGTATGATTTGGAAATTTTTTTGTGCTTTATAGGCTTCAAGAGAAGACATATTCCTTGTGGCCATTCCTATTGGCAAAGCAGTACCTCTACCAGAATCCTCTGTATAAACCCAGTGCAGTCAGTATTGTGTTAAAGCCCAATACTGCCCCTTTTAACTTCAAGTAAGTGTACTTCAATCCCTTGATCAATGACTCATTGAAAGCATTGCTGTTTGTAATAGTTGTTTCATAGGCCAACAGATTTTGTTGCTCAGTTAACATGTTATAACATGATCTGCATTTGGTTGGGGGGAGGTGAGGGGAGCTGTGAATGACAGGAAGATGGATTATTAAGATTGTTCTTCTGCCTATTAATTAGTTGATCATAATTCAACAATACTGTATGGGAGCAATTATTGGAAAGTTAAATATTTTAAAATCTAAACCTACCTCCATTCTTTCCACATCTAATTTCAATGGATGGTTGCTGCTGGAGGGAAGGGCTAGATCTAACCAATCTGCTGTTGGAAGGCAAATTGATTACTTGAATCATTTAAGGAAACTGTGTGCCTTCAGTTCAGCAGCATTTTATGTTTCACTTGTACAGACTGAAATTCTTGGACTTCAGGACTTTGTCAAATAAGAGGAGTCCAGAAAGGATGGATCCATACAACGTCTTTAAGGCATTGCTTGTGAACCAGAAAATGCAGCAGTGTTTCCTCCAGATCCAAACAATTACCAGCCAGAAATAAGACAGCTGCCATTAGCTGACCCCTATTCCAGTTTTCCAGATGATAACCAGTTTTTCCCACCCAGTACGACATCAGACTTGCCTCGCATACGATCTTTGACTACTTATGAAAACTTTTTCATAAAAGATGAAGGATGTCCGTGGAAAATGTATTGCAGGATGTTATCAAGAGTTCCCAGCCCTTCACCCCAGCTCTCATTCTGATTCTAAGTAAATATTGGGGTTAATATGTGTATTTGTGCATTGAGATCTGTATTTGACTTAGCTGCAATGCTGTTCATGTTTGAGTAAGACTCGTGTATGAAGAGCAGCCACTTGCAAGAGTGAAATCAGAATCTATGAAACCATACTCAGTGTCAGTCAAATGATAATCTTACAGGTGGCTCACTATCACCTTATCAAGAGCAATTAGGAAGAGGCAGTAAATGCTGACAAAGCCAGTTACACACACATCCCATGAATAAATCTTTTAAAAAAAAATTACACAATTGCATCTTGTAACAAAATGCTATGTTGATGGCATCTTTCTTTCCACTGATGAAATAATTTTCTTGTCTTATGTCTTGGATAAGTCAAGTGTAGACTTTATCTTGGGGGAAAAAAAACTTAAGCCATTTTCCAAATAAAAGAATTGGCCAGCATGTTCCTCCTTGGCTTTTGCTGCTTTTAAGCTAATCCTGGGGTCAATGAATCACCTGACTTTAATTTTCTCTTTGTGATACCAAATTCTATTGTTATAATCTACATGTACTGCTCTGTCTGATTTGGTGCAGTGGAAGATCAACAAAGTATTCAACTATAATAAATGGAATGACTTGAATTCACTTCCTTAGACTGAAACCTCCACTTATTAAGCACATAATATGTTTGCTATTCATTCTTTTATTATTTGATTTGTAATAAAAATAAGTTTAATAATCTTCAGAGGTTCCTTAAGTTTCTATTTATTCATGTAAGCTTTGAAAATTTATCAGTGATTATACACTCCACAATAGCGTTTTTTGACTGTGAAGGTTTACTGCCATTTGTTGAAGTGCTGTTATCTTTATGAACTTGAGTCTGTTTTCTTGACAAGGTTCTGGTGTGGTATGTACAACCGTTTTGACAGAGGAATGCAGCCAAGACAATCGGTTGTGGATTGTCTACATGCTTCAATGAAACAGAAAATAGACCTCGAAGAAACTGTAGCAGATCTGAATCAGGTGAGTGAAGTTAAAATTAATACATTGGTGCATCATGATGCAGTGTACCACTTGATGTCATACCGTGCACTCAAATTTGAATTCCTAGATGCAGATTGCATTCCGAGTTACAGTGCTACATTTTGCCCAATCCCTTGACTTCAACAGGTGAAAGTCAGTCAGTGTTTCTACTCTTATTTATGCATGGCTCTCACATTAATCACATAATTAAGAGTGAGACTCCACTGCCTGTGTGCACCTCTCAGTTTCTCATGCACTCTATCAGCAACTGGCTAATACGACCTCAGTTATTCCTGTCCAAGCATTTCAACCTCTAGGCACTTTCTATATCTTCAAAAAATAGAGACAAAATAAGCTAAGGGATTCTTACTTTAAAAAAAACTGTGCCTTATTCACATTTGTGCTGTTCTTAGAATGATTATGGCTAAGAAGAATTTGATTTGTCAAGTTCATGCTATGTCTCTGAGAGCAACCAAACCAGTCCGATTACTCCATCAATTTGCTAAAGCTCTGCATATTTTTTCTATTCGGCTATTTATCCAATTCTTTTTGAAAATTGCAAATAAATATGCTTCCAGCAGACACGCGCCAACATACGTGCATGCATTGCATTCTGGACCTGAACCATTTGGTACATTGGAAAAAGAACCAATTACCTTAAATCTGTGCTCTACAATTCTCAACCTTCTGCTTACAGAAGCAGTTTACCACTATCTACTCTGTCTAGATACCTCATGGTTTTAAATACTATCAAACTTCTTTTAAATGTTCTTTTCTCTAAGACAAACAACTTCAGTTTCTCCAATTTATCCTTCTATTCCCTCAGCCCTGGAACAATTGTAAATCTCTTCCACACACTCATTAAAGCCTCCATAGCTTTCTTGAAGATTATTGCCCAGAATTGTACACAATATTTCAGTTGAGGCCAAATCAGTGTTTTTTTGGAAAGGTTCATAACATTCTTGTTTCCGTACTCCGTGCTGGTATTTATGAGGCCCAGGATCCTGTTTGCCTTATTAACAACTTGTATTCTTGCCTTGCAGGGCAAATAAATAAATGAACAGGAGTAGACCATAAGTCCTTGCTGCTTCATTCAGTATGACCATGGCTGACCTTGGGCTTCAATTCCACTTTCCTACACATTGCACGTGTTTCTTGATTCCCTAAAACAGCTGTGACCTGCAACAATTTGTGTACATACTCCCAAGGTATCTGTTCCTGCAACCACTTTGGAATACGACCCTTTAGATTGGCCCTTGTTATCTTTTATTCCAAAACATACCACTTCACATTTCTCTGCATCAAATTTCATGTGCCACATGAGTGCCAGTTGATGTCTGTGATTTACTGAAGACTATTATAATCCTGCTAACAGTTCACAATACTTCCAAACTTTGCGTCACCTCAAATTTTGACATGTACTTACTCCCACGTAATACTCATTTATATATATATAATGTAATATATATATTTTTAAAAAAAACCTGGCTCTAGTACCAACCTCTAGGGGACATCATTGTATTGCGGCCCCCAGCCTGAATTACAACCATTCACAATTGCCCTCTGAACCGTGTCATTCGGTCAATTTCTTTTCAGTGCTGCCATGGTCCTTTTTTTTTACCATAAGGGCTTCCGCTTTGTCAGCAAGTGTATTATGTAGCATTTTACACAAAACAGAAGAAATGGGAGCAAAAGTAGATCAATGAGTCATTGAACTGACTTTGTCATTCAGCACTGATCTGATGTCCAAAATCTGGCATTCTCAGGACCAAAACCATATCAGATTTCAAATTTTCTCTGATTTTGGATTGTTGGAAGATAACCTGGTGTTGTGTGATTTTTGACCTTGTTTGTCCGTTACAGTTATTCCAAGAACGGCTTCTTCATTCCCGCACTTACTCTGTTCTTGGAAGAGTGTCTAGTTCTCCCTAAAGAAAAATGTCTAGTTTTAACAGGCAGATTTTGAATATTGTGTCTGTAAGGCCATGGACCATGACCATGACTGTGACTGTGTAACCATAATTTCAACAACCTAAAGTCCAGACAACAAAATGGAAAGTTATTTTCCACACAGTCCTTTTTATTTTTGCAGTGTTGGCATGCTGTTGCCCATAGGGTGACTCTCCTCCTTCAATTCAGTAGTTGACCAAGTGAGCTTGGGTCTTTCCTTGTATGACTTCTTCTAAGCTTTCTCTTGTTTTGTCTCTATCACACATAGAGAAGTAGAGGTGCATACGTTGTGTCAACAGGCTCTGGATATTTCTGACACTGCTGCAGTTAACACTTCCACTCTGCAGCTCAACTGATCAAAGGGCTTTTGTTAGGCAGAATTTTCTTAATTTCCTTTTGTTCTTTGTGCTGGTCGATCTCAAATTCTCCCTCTTACTGCTTCAAGACCCAATATTGTATCGTACAGCACAATGATATATATAAAAGAGCTCTTGATTTTTCAGTTGATAAACTTCTCTGCTATTCAATTATAGCAGTCCTACTTTAGTTGATAGTTTTCATTCTTGGAGCTATGTGGTCTTTAACAGGCGTGAAAACCTGACCACGGAGGGAGAGCTGAGGGTACAAAGCAGACTTCCAGAGTTAGTGCTCTTGAAGTAAATATGACAGTTGCAACATGGACCCAAAATTGACCGAGTGACAGGAAACAGAGTAATGGTTAATGCTTGTTAGTGAGGCAGGGTAAAGGTTTATGATGGTGTTCCCCATAGGTCTTGTTGGGAGTCTAGCTTTTCCTGATTTGTGTAGATGATCTAGACATTGGCGTACAGGACAAAATTTCAACACTTGCAGTTGATTGAAAACTTGAATATTGGCAACTGTGAGGAGTGATGATGTGGAGGCGCTAGTGTTGGACTGGGGTGGACAACACCTGTCACTAACATCTGAAGGAGGAGTAAGACTCCGAAAGCTTGTGTTTTCAAATAAACCGGTTGGACTATAACCTGGTGTCATGTGATTTCTGACCTTGACTGTGAAGAGGACAGTGTAGAACTTCAAAAGTTGATAGATTGCACAGGTAGGAGTCATGTGAAGTTTGATATGGAGAAATGTGAAGAGATTCATTTTGCCAGTCCATGTTCTTTTTACCAAAATGAAACAAAAGGGTCCAACTCTAAAGGAGATGCAGGAGCACAGGGACCAGTGTGTATAATTTCTTAAGTCATAATGATTGCAAGAATAGTTAATAAAGCATAAAGTATCCTAGGCTTTATTAATCAATATATCAGCTGATACCAACAATCCTATGATGAATGCCACCTGTGCACGTTCACCTCTAAATTTTTCAGACTGCACATATGCATACATATGTGTTCACAATCATCAGAGGTTTGGACAGAATCAATAGGGACAAAATGTTCCCACTCATAAAAAGTTTAGAATGAGAGGACACTGATTTAAAATAATTAGTAAAAGAAGCAAGAATGATATGAGGAAAATCTTTTACACACAGTGGTTAAGGTCTCTAGAAGGCACTGCCTAAGAGTGCAGTGGAGGTAAGTTCAATGAAGGCATTCAAAAGGGAATTAGATGGTTATCTGAAAAGGAACAATATGCAGCGTTGATGCAGAAGTCAGGAGAATGGCAGTCAGTGAGGTACTCATCTAGAAAGTTGGTGCTAACATACTAGGCTAACTCACTTCCTGTGTTGTAACAATTCTGAGTTTCTGTGACAACAGATGAAGAAAAGATCGAGCTCCATGCAGCTGAAATGATGTCATTACTTCCATGCTGTCATCGGATCTAAGCTCAGGGAAGTGCTAGGAGCCATCGATAATTCTATCTCCACAAGGAGCCGGTGGGGTTTGGGTGCGGTGGGCACAAGGAAACACAAGAGCTGTTATTAGTTGAAGTTGTCTGATGGAGAGCTAGGATCATGTTGGTGATTAGATTTTGTTTTGTAGGCTAGCCAACCCGGTAGAATACTCTCTGGAGGTGATATTGTGAACAGCTGAGATGTGAGATATTATTGGGGCAGTCTGATTTGGAGTTCTCTTACTTTACAATTTTATAGTTTACTGATCTAAGAGAGCCCTCAGGCTTTCACAGACCTGCTGGTGAAGATCTCTAAAAGAGAGAAGCTAAGTCCCTCATCACAAAGACAGTATTTTAAAATTTTTTATGACTTGCAGCAATCACTGATGTCAACATAGATTGGTGAACAAATTTGTGGGCTTTGCCTTATTTGTATTTGTCATTTGATAGTATTCATAGTTTGCCGATTGATTTTATATGTACCTCATGCTAATTCTGGATGTTAGACTACAGGATAGATTGTATTTACTGATTACATCCGTGACTCTTGCGTAGCAAAAATTTCTTTGTTTCTTTAAATCTGTGGAATTTTTATTCTGAGTAATTGGGATTTCTAATTTGTCTACTATAACAAAAAAAAAAGTTACAGGTCCCTAACTGAATTGCAAAAGACTGTGGTTCTTGCTCAGAATTGTAGCAATTCAAAAAGAAGTTCAAATTACTAGTGAAAAACTTCGCACACAATTTCTTCTGCACTTGAAACTCTCATGCTGTTAAATGAAAATCTGTTCTGTTACACATCAGTTTAAATACAAAGTTAATCATTATTACTGAATTCGAGTTCCATGCACGTGATTGTGGGAAATTTGTTGCCGTTTGAATCTCTTCAAACTGTGCTCTTGTTTTACCTTCAAAAGCAGAAAGAGAACAATTGTCTTGACAAACTTGCATTGCAGATGCTGTTTTAGGAAATGTTAGAATGTTCTACCAATATATAAATCATGACGTATTTTTAATAATTGGTACCTTAATGTATATAGCAGTGCACATTATTACTTGCAACTTTTCTGATGGTTGTTCTATTTTCTTATTACAGAAACTAACTCATCAGGATAAATCACATTCTGATTCTACCTTTATCTTACCAATTAAACTTTCCATGGAGGAAGATTCCACCCACCTGCAAGTAATTGGTGCTACTCAGGACTATTTGGAGGAAGAGCAAATTATGTTAACAAATGGCACAGAAGAGGTAATTGAAACTGTTCCTGCTGGGAGCAAGCAAGTGGATAATGTAACCGACTCCTCTTTCACGTGTCAATCTACTTTGAATAACATTGACTCCCTTGATCTAGTCAAGTTGAAAATACAAGCAGATGAAGACAACCATCAAATATTCCAAGATGCAGTCGAAAAATAATTACTTATCTCCATATAACTTGTATGTATTCGTTCACAAATGTATTTGGTCTTGATATAAATATCGTTATTCAAAAGTGTCAGAATTAGAAAATGCCAACAGATAATTCTTTAACAAAGGGAAAATAATCCAAGATGTTTTGGGGAATCTGGCTGCTTAAATGAGAGGATATATTTCGAAGGGAAATGTTACAAAATTGGGCTTGGGGTGGATTCTCACTTGCCAGAAGCTAATATAAAAATTTAGCAGACTGTTCATAATAGATAGGAAATTGTAGTCATTTTCTACCTGAATTCCTTATGCGTTTCCCGTGGTGAAATGCAGATGTTATGATGTGTCCAGTTATTGAGATCTGTCTTTGTGTATTTCTTAAAATTTAATGGACCAATCTGAACACGTTGCTTCATTGTAGTGTTTTAATGTTTTGCCACTGAAGAAGCCAGTGTTGGGTGCAGTGAATGCTTTTTAGAAACCTAAGCTGGCTGTTTTGTAAATATTAACCAACATATTTTCTAAATTGGAAGTTCTTAAAAGTCTTAGATTAAATACTTTCATATAAAGGATAGACATGATAATTGCATTTCCCTTTTAAATTTTTCTCCAGTCTTATCCCCTTACCTGTTTTTCTATTTCCCTTGTTCAGAAATGGTTCCATGGCTGCCACAAGCCCACGGATATGTTGCCTAAGTGCCTATTCCATCTGTAATTCAACAAAACAAGCTATTCTCCAATGATATTTGAGTCTAATTCAGTTTCTGACAAATCTCTGCCACATGCAAAAGTCACTGCATTGTAATTAGAGATAGGAGCTCTGACATATTTAAGGCCAGCTGCTACCCTAACTAAGATAATTCACTTGGCCTATGAGTTGTGGGGATTTATTCATGAATTCCTAGTCTTGAGTGGCTCAGAACCAGCCTGTATTGGAAGACTCTTTCTGGGCCAAATCATTGGAGGAAGTTGTATTTCACTTTATTGTTTTTGCAAGACAATTTTTGGATTGTCCTGTTCTATATATTGTGGACAGTATTGGTAATTAGCTAAAGATTTATAGCTCTTTGAGTGATTGAGAGATATTTTCACTTTACATTTTACCTTCTGTAAAAATAGATTTGTTGTTTTATTTTCCATGTTACTCAGTGCCTGTTTTTTTATCAGACATCATGAGGAAACTTCTCAATGTCTGAATAATGGTTAGAATTTTACAAAATAAATCATAAAATTGCCACAAGTGGAATTTTGTTATACAATGCATCAATATGCTTCTGTAAGACAGAGCATTTGGTTCATACATCAAGATGGAAAGTAAGAGTCTTGTTTATACATAGTCATTGTGATGAATAGTCCTGTGGCTCATGTTGGAGTGCACTCATTTGCAAACCAGCTCCTGTTCACTCAAGGCTGTGCAGCACCATCTTTCTCTTGGGCTTCAGGTCATCCATTTATAAAGCTATAGGTATGAAGAGTACAGAAGGCATTTTCTAACTGTAGTTTATATCGGTGTTCCGAATGGGTACACTGAAGTCCTTCTGGACATCATTCAGTAGTTTTGCACTTTTTAAAAGATATTGATTTTCCATCCTTCCAACCAAAATAACTTGTCATTTCATTAGCTACTTTGTCCAGTCACTTAATCTGTCTATATTTCTCTATAACCTCTTCTTATGGTTTCATTTCACAGCTTACATTCCCACCAAACTTTGTATTGCAGAAAATGATTTTACGTTTTTTTTGTTGGAAATCTATCAGGATTATTGGGTACCTGTTAAATCTATAAAAGCTGAAATGTCAACCCTTTTGTAAAAGCGTTAGTGAGTGCTGGGTTTTGTACCAGAATTCACATTTGCTCTGCCCATACATCACCAATTTTTTTCTTTTAAATACACACAATAAAAGTTTCCAGACTCTTTACTCATTTGACAGTTCATGCAGAGATACATACACTATTAGTTGGGGTCCCTGGATTTCAAAACAGCATAAACTGTGACCACTTTCCCATTTCCTCAGGCAGATGCTGAGGCCTTTGGCGGCACGGCGGCTCAGTGATTAGCACTGCTGCCTCACAGCATGAGAGACCCAGGCTCAATTCCAGCCATGGGCAACTGTGCATTCTCCCCATGTCTGTGTGGGTTTCCTTTGGGTGCTCCAGTTTCCTCCCACAATCCAAAGATGTGCAGGTTAGGTGGATTGGCTATGCTAAATTGCTCATAGTGCCTACGGTAGGAAATGTAGGGGGTCGGACTGGCAAGGATGCTCTTCAGAGAGTCGGTGTGGACTCGATGGGCCGAATGGCCTGCTTCCATAGGATTCTATGCTTCTAATCATTCTAAATTAATTCAAGTACCACCTCAGAATGAGAATTCAGTTTGAGACTTTCTGGTTCGTATGGCTCAGTTGGCTTTTATCTTGTTCATGGATTCCTTTCTTAAATATTTTAAGGACAGTGTCATCTTAAGTTTGAGTTGATTTTTGAATAGTAATTAAGTACACTTTAAGGAAAGCTTGAAATTTTACCCAACATGAAGGTAACTCAATGAGATTACGTAGAACGCAACTGATTCTTACTTTTCTCCTTTTATGAATCATGAAACTTGTCAGACCATAATCGATGAGCAAAATGGTTGACCTGCAGTCAATAAAGGAATATTAAAAAAAATATTTTTTTAATCATGATGTAGTTTGATTGCAGATCATTCTTTAATTTGTGTTAACTGCTTCTGAGTTTCTTATGAATTTCTATGGGTAGCATGGTGCCTGTCATGAGAAGCATTAATTGAGACAAATGCGTTAGTGTAGAATATTTTCTTTCAGATTTCCAGCAGCTGCATTGTTTTCCTTTGATTTTATTGTACAGATTATTATTGAATATTATTCAAACAGGGAAGGGCTTCCTGTTGCTGCTCAAAAGTTGAGTAATTATTCAGCAAGCAAACAGAATTCCCCTAGATTTCACCACCGTCCTATGTTGTAATATCAGAATCAATAGATGTTGAACATCAGCTCAAAATTCTATTTTTCTAAGCTTTTTCTAATAGTGAAAATACTCCTGCTTTTATGATTGTGATCAGCATTTCCTCTAGGCTACGTGAATGCATGACTGCATAGCACTCCAGAACTCAATGCTCGAGAGACAAACGGGCTGCACCCTGGTAGCAGCCCATAAAGATTTGTTGGATGCATTGGATTTTAAATAGTAGAACAACAAATGGGCTTTGCACTGCAAAAGGAATTTGAAGAGAACATTGAGATATATCCAGCACAAACTGAACTTGTTAATTTCAATATATTTTACATGTATATACAGACATTTAAAAAAACCTGTTTCTATATCTTCTCAGCTTCAACCTTCGAAAGATATATTTAATTCTCTTGGTAGTACTCAGTTGTAGTTTTTCTGGGAATTTTTTTCTTTTTTAAAAATTCTGCCTGATAAATGTTTATGACTGACTGAACAAAATTTTGTTTGGGGTTAACTGCATAGAAAGCCGTTTGGGATGTGCTGAGATAACGTTGTTGCCTGTGCATTTGTATCCTGTCAATTTTACAACCTTATCCTTCTATGTTGTTGATTTGTGGCAGTGTTTAATTCAAGAAGCATTGGATGTCTTTTGTTGTCTTATCCAAATCCCCATTATTTATAAGAGTCTGGTGGTAACTGTAGATATGATAGTTGACGTATGTCACTGTTTACACTTGTATTTCCTGTTGGAATTAAGCGATAGTGATCCGCAGAGGAACCACAAGTTACTTTTTTCTTCCGTCTCCTCATCTAAGCCAGGATGATGATGATATTTGTACAGCCCTTATTTCGCTGCCCAAATTAGTAAATAGAATAGACTGTGTTGAATATTAATGGATCAACTTTTCTATTGAAGGAAATAGTTTTCCTTAAATTGAATTGTTTCAATTTCTCACAAACTGCACTAACCCCAGCTGTGCTTCTTCCTTTTTGACAATTTCCACCCTCCTGAAGACAGCTTTGCAGGTGGACTTTTGCCAAGCCCTTGATGTTTCGATATCTGCTGAAATTTTTGTTCTCCATACAAATGAGTCAGTGAGCTTTGGCAGTCCATTGCTTCATTAGTACTATATAACCACACTGGATGGTATCCTCTTATTATCACTATACAAGTGTACTCTCTGCAGAGATCATTTGGTGGTGATGAGGAACTGATATTCTAGTTCAGATGTAAAATGTGACGTGCAAGCTCTTACTCTGCCCTCTATCTATGAACGTATCAGTTTGAGCACTGCATTAAAATTGCAGGCAAGAAAGCGTGCTGATTCTGTTTTACTGTCTTGCTGCCCCATAGGTATGTGCAAATGCTAGCTAACAGTACAGATTCTGAGTCATATCTAGGACTTTTGAATCTTTATGGCTAAGTGTTACCTGTTAGATGAATTTTCTTGATAGATTATTGGACAGACTGCTGAGGTTAAAGTGCCAAATAACAGTACTGCAAATGCTGGAGATCTGAAGTGAAAACAAAGTCCTGGAGAAACTCCATGGGTCTGGTAACACCTGCAGAGAGAAACAATTGACGTTTTGAGTTCAATTTGTCGGTTTACTGTTTTCAGATGATAAGTGGGCCATTTAGGATGGAGGATAGGAAATTTTAAACTATTCATGAATGTATATTATTATGTAGATAGTTCCCTACCCTTTACGATAATAGGTGTAATGTGAATATCAATAACTCTGTCTCTGAACAATAGTATTACTCCCAATTGTGGAAATTGATATGGTGGTACCTTGAGTGATTAGTTTCTGTTTTAGCTCATTGTACCCCCATCCAAATTAATTTTCAGTTCTTCAGAATGTTGAATTGTTCCCTGTTTGCATCTGCACCACCTTCTTGGCCAGGGCCCTTGTGTGAACATCCACATCTCCAGGACCCCCATGCCCCATGTGGATACTTGATGTAACATGATCAAATTCTCCATAATCAGCATTTAGAGAGTGTTAGTAAAATTTGGGATGAGTAAAGAAATTTTTCATAAGTGTTGGTAATCATTTGGGTGATCCCTGCATGATATATGGGACTGATTGTTAACTACTTTTAAGCCACTGATGAAAGGTCACTAACCTGCAATTACATCGTTTTTTTTCTCTCTCTAGTTAGCTATGATTTGTTTGCTGTTCACATTTTTAAACCTATTTTTTGGTTCTTTACTTGTCCTGATATCACCTATTAGCCTTGCACCATTATCAAATTTCCTTCTAAAGTGTGCTGTTGTACAGCTACCTAGAGGTTCCTGTGTAGGTTCACATAAATCAGTCTTTTTCAGTTGTCATATGTGTGTGTGACTACACATTTTTAAAAAAATGCCAATACTCATCAACAAAATCACTTCTAACATTTAGTCAGTTCTGCTTTCCTTCGTTCTTTCTAAATTTCAGCTCACCTCCCTTTCTCCTGCCTTTCGACTTGCTAAAACCTGCCATGTCTGTAACATTTTCTATTTCTGATGAATGTTCACCAACCTAAACATTGCACCTATTTCTCTCTTTACCTAAGCTGCTGAGTATTTCCAGCACTTAATTTATATTTGTGATGTTAAGCATCAACAGTATTTTAACTTTGTTAAAAGAATATAGCTAAGTTGTATTTTCAAATGAGTCTACGAATGAATTGATCAGTTTTGTTTTAGAAATCAATATTACCTAAGCAGTAGTCTTTTACCTCACTTAGAAAACTAGACTGTATCAGGAATTTCCTTTTCACCAGAATTAGTAAGATTAAATTTTGTTTTGGCCATCTCTTGTCACATTTATAAATGTGGTAAGTCAAAGAAATTCTCAATCTTTTGGAGATTTATGTAACTGATTCAATGTGTTATTTGATTTGTTATTTGAGGGGATAATATTACAGCAAAGAAACCATTACATTGCGTGGCAAACCTGGTTGAGTACAAATAAATTTCTAAAATATTTGAAATTCTACTTTTTGAATATGTCAGAATATGCGCCCTTTTACTTCATTATTCAGTAAGTCTTGGATTTGGACATTTGTAAACACCTTAATTTCTCAACTTTCCTAACTCCTCCTGCCCGTCCCCCTTCCCAGCTCACCAAAGCAAATTGGGACATAGGAGCAAAGTTGAGCCATTTAGTCCCTTAAACCAATTTTAGCACTTAGTTTGCTAGTGGCTGATCTGTACTTAACGCCATCTAATTGACTTTGTTCCACAATCCTTAATTGCCAACAAAACTTACTTAAAAACAAAAAAAAACCAAAGAACTTCAGATGCTGGAAATCAAACAAAAACAGAAATTGCTAGAAAATGTCCACGGGTCTGGCAGTATCTGTGGAGAGAAAGCAGAGTTAACTTTTTGGCACCCTTCTTCAGAACCTTCTTCAAGCTTAATTGACCTTATTTTTGACATTTACAATTGAATCAGCCTCAACAAATCCTGGAGCAGAGAGTTCCAAATTTTCACTACCCTATTGTACAAAGAAGTGCTTTCTGACATTAACTTCAACCTATAGTTCTGTTTTCAAAGTTATTATCCTTTTGTTCTCTCCAGCACTCTGCTCAACTGCCTTTTCCCTGCCTCTCTATATTAAAACTAGTGACATCTGTTAAATTTGCAAATCTGATGATTATTCACCATGCTATCATGAGCACTTTCACCAGAAAATCGTGACATATGGGCCAAGATTAATTTTGTGAAGGAGCTAGAAACTAATATAGGCCCTCAGTGTATGTGTACAGTGAACCTGATTCCAATTTTGAGTGCATTCATTGGAATATGAACTGATTTTCTAGCCACGTGATGACCAGATACTTCAGTCATTAAAACAATAACCACACCTTTTACTATATTCAATCCTTAGTACTATTGAATGACTAAACTCCTGTATTTTATTAGAACACAAGCACCATTTTCAGGGAAGATGATTCTGTACTCTCCTGTTTTGTGTTTAAAACTAACTTCTGCAAAATATATAATGCATTTTTCTTTGTTTTTGAGGCCAAATTCTATCGCAAACTCAATTTTTATGCTTGTATTCCAGTTGAGAATACTGACTTAAGTATCAGAAAAGGGAATCCTGGTTTCCTTTATTCAAAGGTGCTGAAGTGACATATATTTCCAGTTGAGATCATCTAACTTGGTCTGAAGCCTTTACCAACTGATTAATTCAGAGAAAATCTGTGAATTGATACATACGTTGACTAATTGCAAAACAAACCTGTTTATTTGATTGCCCTAAAAGGGAATAAGTTATGCAGTGTGCACTACTTTTAAAGAATGTTTTGTGAACCAAGCCATTAAATATTTTGTACCGGCATGTTTGTCTTTATCATTCCTGTACTTGCATTTGTAAGCAGTAAAATGTTCTTTTTTTGTAAGTAATAAAAATATACAGTCTATTTCTTCTATGTAGAATTATTTATGGTTAACTATTTCTTCTCTGGATTGTAACTCATCTTAAATTGTGGTTGAAAAACTAAACTTTTTTGAACTAGAAATTCACAGCTTAGGAAGTCATTTAGCCCATTGTGTCCATGATAAATAAGGGAGAGTTTTCCTGTCCTCCTTTGTATTTCCCCAGCTTTCTCTGAAGGTGGTGACATTTCTATGTATGCCAGCTATCCTATTGTGCCTTTTTGATCATTATTAACGTCAGCTTGAAACCAAGTGGAGGAAGCTTTATAAAAAGCCATGCTAGATTTCTGACCTTTATTTATAATGGAATAGAACACAAAAACAAAAGCAAAAAGTTATACTAAGCTTTCATTAACCCCTGGTTAATCTTTATTTTGAGTACTGTGTTCAATTCTGGCTACTATATTCTTGGAAGGCTAGTATGGACTAGAGAGAGTTACTAGAATGGTACTGGAATGAAGAAGAGTAACTGGAGAAACTGGTGTTGCTTTCCTTTTTAAAGCAGGGAGAAAATCTAATAGAGGTGTTCAAAATCAAAAGGTTTTGGCAGTAAAAGAAAACTTCCAATGACAGATGGGTTGGTAATCAAGAATACAAGTTTAAGAATATTTCCAAAAGAGTCAGAGACACCATGAAGAGAAAACTATGTACACAGCAAGGTTTTGTGATATGGAATCCAGGAAAGGTATTTGAAGCAGATTTAATTAAAAACATTCAAAAGAAAATTTAATAGATTTTTGAAGGGGAACAGGGCTATGGGAAACAAGTATGGATTGGGACAACTGGATAGGTCTTCCAAAGTGCTGACACAGACATGATGGTATGAGTGGTGATCTGTGCTGTCTCATTCCATGAATATCATATCAGATATGTCAATTTAACCGGTGGCTAAATTCTAGAAATTAGAAAGCTTGAACACTAATCTTTGACTGGGCAGTTTCACACCGAAACAAAGACACCATTTTGATTCGTGGAAATGCTTGAACCACAACACCTGACGAAACCTTTTCAAACATCATGGTTACCTAAGTGATTTTCACACCTCGGTAAATATACGTCTCAAGATAGCTCAACCCGCTGACAAAATGACTAACATATTAGCTTTTACAAAGGAGTTATAATGTTTAAGTGAATAAATCCAACCTTTTGCATTTCAATCATTATTATCCACTAAACAGGATCAGCTAAGTTTGTCTTCCAAGATTTACTCTCTTTTGCAACCCTGGAATATCTGGATCTGAGACCACATTGTTTTTTTTTTGCTAGGAATGATTGTGCTGTTGCTAAAAGATATGTAGGTAGAATTGTAGAAACTTAGAATGCACAGGGATAGCTTTTGGCTTTTTATGCCTTCACTTTAACAGAATAATCTGCAATTTTACTGCTTGTTCTCACCGAACCGTTTGTCTTCCTCTGTTTCAGAAGTTTACCCTGATATCAGAAAATCCTGCCTCTATTTCCAATGGCAAAACGTTCTATATTGTAACACCTTTTCCCAGTAACCTCTCTCTGATTTTGTAATTGAGAAATAATCTCTCTGGTTTTCCCATAAAAATTCCTTCATAAATTAAAATGTTATACTTCCTAAAAAAATCCTTGACTTATGAAATGAGGCATAGTGTACAAAACGAAGGGAATTATGGTAAACTTCTAAATTGCTAGTTAGTATGATCTGGAGTCTTGTATCCAATTCCAGTCAACATACATGTTCCAAGAGACATCACTTAACACTTCTCAAAATTGCATCTGCCAACCACGTCTAATTCTTTTCCATGTTGTTAGTTCCAACACAAACCAAAACTTCTGGCTTTATCGCTCTTTTAACTTTTCTTCCTGAACTTGCTTTTCCGGAACCATAATTATTATAGTGTAGAAGGAAGCCATTCAGCCCACCATGCCTGCTCTGGCTCTGTAATCTAGTGCCAGTCTCCTATCTTTACCCCATAACCCAGCATACTATTATGATCCAGAAAAAACTAATGCCTTCTTGACTGCCTCAATTGAACCTATCTCCACCACATTTCCAGGCAATGCATTCCATTTCCTGATAAGTCACTGTGTGAAAAAGATCTTTATCTCGCATCACCCTTGCTTTGTTTGCATATCATTTTAAATCAATATCCTCTAATTATTTCTCGTGGTTGGTTGGCTTGCTGAGCTGGTTCGTTGTTTCTCCGCAGACATTTCATTACCCTGCTGGGTAACAACATCAGTGCAGCCTCCAATGAAGCGCCTGTTATTTGAACTCTGGAGTCCGTTGAGCTGGATTACCTCACTTCTGGTTTTCCTTTGCAATGGAGTGTGTGGGGTCGAGCTCTGTGTTTGTTGATGGTTTCCTTTGTGGAGTACCAGGCTTCTAAGAATTCCCGTGCTTGTCTCTGCTTTGCTCGTCCCAGGATCTTGGTGTTGTCCCAGTCAAATTGGTGGTTCTCCTTATCCATGTGGATAGAGATGAGTGAGTATTGGTCATGTCTTTTTGCAGCCAATTGATGTTCGTGTACCCTTGTTGTTAATTTCCTTCTTGTTTGTCCAATGTAATGTTTGTCACAGTCTCTGCAGAGAATCTTGTATATGACATTGGTCCTGTCCATAGTGGGTCTTTGGTTCGGGTGAGCATTGTCGTAGGGTTGATGTGGGTTTGTGTGTTACTCTGATGCCCAGTGGTCGTTGGAGTCTTGTGGTCAGTTCAGATGTGTTCCTGATGTAAGGTAGAATGATGTTGAAGTCTTCCTTAGGATAGTTTTATTTTTAAATGGTAAAAGAAAGGAAATATTTCCAACCCTCTCAAAGCATTAAAAAATTTCTGGCCCAAGAATATAATTCTACAAAAGAATAAGTACATGTGAAGAGTTCTCTGCCGAAGCAAAGAATGCAAATCTTGATTCAGTGCATTTCTTTGGTTGTTCTGCATGTTATTCAAACTGTGGTCTACACCAGCTCAGATATGTGAAAGGCAGCTGTGGACTGATTATAGAAAGATAAAATTAAAAGTAGCTCATCAGACTTCTGAAGTTGCAGAATGTAATGGCATTTACTGTCTGAGCCTGAACAACTTAAACAAACATCCCCTGATCTCGGCCTTACTGTTGAGAGTCCACAGCCACTGCATGTTTTCTTTTCCACACAATGAGACAGCTGGCAGCTTTGAAATTATCCCACAGGCAGGGTGCCACTCATTGATGTTTTTTTTGGAAGAAGCACATACATTTTCTTTTGTACAGAAAGTACGGGAGGAAGTGGTATGCACACATAATCCATGAATTTAAGTATTCCATACAAGGATCATATAAAAATGATGAATGTGGTAGCAAGGGCCTAGTATTGCTGGAGTTATTAATCACTGGGCACTGCCTTCAAACGGAAGAGCTGATTTGGCCATAATAGCCTCATAAATTATCATTTTTATGGTGTCGGACCAGGTTCGTACATCAGGATTTCCACAGTAACAGTTTTTGAAGGCTGTTTGCTGCCCTTAAAGCCATATATCACATTGAACAAAAATGACTCCGCTAAAGATACTGATATTCAGCAATCAAGTTGTGGAGGATTTACTGTATGGGGTTCTGAAGCAAAGAATGTACCCCTTGGAAGAGAAGGAAACAAAGATAATGCTAAAATAAAAGGAATAGGGTGATCAGAATAAATCAATGCAATTACATCTATGACCCAAACTTGGAAGTAGATGAGGAAGAAATTCTTTAACTTAAGCAAGTTAACATATAGACACCAACATGGTAAAAGAGTTTAAAAAAACAGAATGCTGGAAGCGTTATTGGACTTAAAACATAAACTGTTTTTCTCTCCACAGAGGCTGCTAGACCTGCCTGGGTTTCTCCAGCATTTTCTCTCTTTATTTCAGATTTCCAACATCCACAGTATTTTGCTTTAAATGACAAAGTAGTTTTTGCCAACCTTCTTCATTATTTATTAGTACAAACCTGATAAAACACAACTGAATCTAAATGCAGACACCATTGTCAACTTATGATCTTTGTAAATTGTCACTTTTTTTTACCATTTTGCTATACCACACCGCGCTGTCAAATGGAACATGGGAGTATCTTGACACATCAACTAAGTTGACTATTGCAGGAAGAAGGAAACCTGAAAGCACAAAGGGGAATAGACCGCAAAATGCAGGATTATTATTATTTTCACAGATTGCCTGTTTATTGATAGAACAAGACCGTTTTCTGTGAGTTGTGAGGTGGGTGTTTGGGTTGTCGGGCCTAGTTGGGTCAAGTTGAGGAGTGCTCACTTGAGTTGGGTTTTGGATGGTTCAGGGGTAATCGGGTAGTTGGGGGTTAGTTACATGGCAGGGGGATCGTTGAAAGTGCTGTAGTGGGGAGGTAGCCAAGTACTTCAGATAAATGATTTGAGGGAGTGTCAATTATGGAATTGTTCAGGTGTTAGTCTAGGTTTTTATCTGTCTGACATTTCCTGAGTAACTATCAAGATAAATTGCACATATTTGTCCCCAAGTCTCTGTGTAAGCTTAGAGATGGAAAATTTCAAGCAGTTTCTTGGGCAGTAGGGAATGATCCATTAAAATTTTAAGCTTCCTGGGCAATTCCCATGCAAGTCCCTTCATCAGCACTTCCACAGCATCCCAATGCATACCTTTCATTATAAGTTCAGTCTTCAATGAATTAGAGACTGGAAGACTTAGTAAAACGTCATAAGTTGAACAACAACAAGTTATTATTTACATAGTGCCTGTAAGATAAAGAAATGTCCCAAGGCGCTTATTGGGAATGTTATAAAACAAAGTATGACATTGAATAACACAAGGGGATGTTATGTCAGACAATCAAAAGCTTGTTCAAAGAGGTAGAATGGTGAGGATTATTTAAAAGGAGGAATGTGAGATGGATAAGTGTAGGGAGGGTAGTCTAGACCTTGGGGTCCAGGAAACTGAAGGTACTGCCTCCAATCATAAGGAGGTACAATTGGAAATGCAAAAGAATGCAGAACTGGAGGAAGGGCAAATAAGGATTGTGGGATTGGATGACCTTACAATGTTCATGACAAATTTAAGCTAAGATGTTGCATGACATTCAGAGAGAGCTAATGAATATCGGTGATGAATGTCAGTGGAGTGGGACTGCCTGAGGGTTAAGGCAGCAGCATCTGAGAATGGGTTCCATCAAGTTTAGACAGGGTAGAATGTGAAGACTGGCCAGAAGTGCGCTGGAATAGTCAAGCCTAGTGATAATGAAGGATAATGATTTCAGTTAAGCCAGGCAAAGACATTACTGATATTAAAAATAGGAGGTCAGAACCAATCTCAGGATCAAACGTAACACCACAGTAGCAAACAGACTGGCTTATTCTTGGACTGTTGCCAGGAAATGAATGAAACAGAAGCAGTGCAAGTACACTTTCCAAGAAGCTTTCACACTGCTACGTTCCTGAGTTAGATTGGGAACTAACTCTGCAATTATACTGCTTAGGACTATTAACAGTAAATAAGCCTCTCAAACTTCTTTTTATGAGTACTCAGATGTGGTCAATTTATTTTACTTAAAGAGTTAATGACAATGTTTCCACATCCATTTTGCTGTTACAAATTTTATTTTAATGTCATCTATTTGCAATTTGACAAATTTGTCTTTTTACACTTCAGTCTCTTAAATGCCCTCCACTGCTTTTTCTCAAACAGACGCAGCCACACATTGTTACCTATCTATATTTACCCTCACTGGTAGGGCTGACCAAGTAAGGAAGGACATAAGGACTAAATTTAGCCTGTCCTCTGCATCTCTGCACAGACACACTTGCTGTGATATTTGAATAGACTACTAGACGGAAGAAGTTGTTTGGATCAACTTAAGGCTTTGGTTATTTGGTTATTAAAGTAAACCTGGGAATCCTACACATGACTGGATCAGTGGAGAGGCAGTAGAATATTCTGTTGCCCAACTTCATTCCTGCTTTTTTTGCATTATTAACTATATTAAAAATCAGCAAACTTTAACGAGTGACTGGAGTGAATTATGTCGGGTTGTGGCTGCAATTGAGAGGGTCATCTTTCGTTAACATGGAACTGGATATTATGTGGCCTGTCAAAATGAGCCTTGTGGATATTACCAAGATATTTTCCATGTTCCAGCCAACCGATGAAGATGATAATGGAGAAAGAAGTCGGTTAAACCAAGCAATTTTCAACAATGATGACAAACTACTAGCTGAACTTTTATCCCAGGAAAAGTACAGGAGATTTATCAATAGCCGAAGTGGGTGGGGTGTTCCAGTAACCCCTCTACGTCTAGCAGCTACCCGGGGTCACCTGAAATGTCTGGAGGTCCTCCTAGCCCATGGTGCTGAGGTGGATAGTTTAGACGTGAAAGCTCAAACACCTTTATTCGCTGCTGTCAGTGGTAAGCATTTAGATTGTGTCCAAGCCTTGCTAAGGGCTGGAGCTAATCCTAATGGTAGTATGTATAACAACAGCTCGCCTCTTTTGATTGCTGCCAGAGAAGGGGATGTGGAGATTTTAAAGGAACTGTTGGATCATGGAGCAGAAGTCAATGTTCGCTCCAAGATGCCGAATTGGGCCTACAATCCCTGTGCTAGCAGTGGTCCTCTCTACCTTGCTTTGGTTTATGGACACTTTGACTGCTTTCGTCTTCTTCTTCTCTATGGAGCCAATCCAGATTTTAACTGCACTGAGGAAAAACTACTGTCTAGAATTAAATCACCAAAGACTGCTCTGGAGATGTGTTTTAAATATGGCTGTGGAACTGAGTATGTTCAGCTGCTCATAGACTTTGGAGCAAACCTTTATTTGCCAGATCTGTCTGCAAATAAAAGTATAAAGCAAAGTGAAGTGCTTAAACTTGTGGAAACTGCCAGAGGTAAGCATACAATTTAATTGTCCTTTTTATATTAAAAAGTCATAGTTAAGTAGCAGATCTGGTGCATTCATTGAACAGTAACTACCAAATAATTATGTATTTTCTCATAAAATGGCAAGCTAGTATAAAAGTGAAAAATCCATCTTTTTACTTTCAAACAAAAAACTATTTCAATAAAAACAAGAGGAAGAATCACTCTCATTTGTTGCTAACAGGAATTTAACTATTGTGGAGATGATTGTGGTAATTAATCAAAACCAAAATTATCATGGAAATTTTGCACATTATTGCATATCTACAGAGTAGCTCTGTGTGTATTAAGCATTAAGAATTACTATAGAATTCCCTCATGGTGCAGGGGTAATATATTAGCATGGATTCAACATTGAATAAAAGCACAGTAGTGCTGGATAGCTGAAATTAAAACAGAAAATGCTGAAGGAGCTTAATATGTCTGGCAGCATCTGTGGAGGGAGAAACAGAGTTAGCATTTTGAGTCCAATATTATTCTTCCGAACTGAAGATAGAAGGTAGAAGTTTGGCTGTCCGAGGGAAAGCAGAAAATAAGCATAAATGAATCCTTATCTGATTGGCAGGATGTGATGGGGCCTTAATATTTTAAATTTTATATCAATGACTTAGACAAAGGGTATGAAAGCCTGATAATTAAATTTGTGGATGACATCAAACGCAGAGAATACTGGAGAAACTCAGTTAGTTTGGCAATATCTGTGGAGAGAAATAGAGTTAACATTTCAAGTCCAGTATGACTCTTCATCAGAACAGACTGGTGAGATACTAAGCAAGTATTTCACATTAGTATTTACTGTGGAGAAGGATATAGAAGCTAGAGAACTTGGAGAAATATATATTCTTGAAAAGTGTCCATATTATAGAGGAGGAGGTGCTGGATGTCTTAAAAGGCATAAGTGTAGATAAATCTCTGGGACCTGATCAGATATATCCCAGAGCTTTGTGGGAAGCTAGGGAAGTAATTTCTGAGCCCCTTTCTGAAATATTTGTATCATCGACAGCAACGGGTGAGGTGCTGGAAGACTGGAGGGTATCTAATGTGATGCCACTATTTAAGAAAGGTGATAAGGAAAATCCAGGGAACTATAGACCGGTGAGCCTGACATTAGCGATAGGTAACTTGTGGAGGGAATCCTGAGGGATAGGGTTTGTATGTATTTGGAAAGGCAAGGACTGATTAGAGATAGTCAACATGGCTTTGTGCGTGAGAAATCATGTCTCACTGACTTGATTGAGTTTTTTAAAGGAGTGACAAAGAAGATAGATGAAGGCAGAGCAGTGGATATTGTCTATATGGACTTTAGTAAGGTGTTCAACAAGGTTCTGCATGGTAGATTGGTTAGCAAGGTGAATCCAGGGAGAGAGAGCCATTTGAATGCAAAATTGGCTTGAAGGTAGGAGACAGAGGATGGTGGTGGAGACTTGTTTTTCAGACTGAAGGCCTGTGACCAGCGATGTGCTGCATGGATGGGTGCTGGGTCCATTGTTTTTTGTCATTTATTTAAATGATGTAGATGTGAATATAGCAGGAATTGTTAGTAAGTTTGCAGATGACACCAAAATTGGTGATATAATGGACAGTGAAGAAGGTTATCTCAGAGTTCAACGGGATCAGTGGGGCCGATGGAGTTTATTTTACATAAATGTGAGGTGTTGCATTTGGTAAGGCAAACCAGGGCAGGACTTATACACTTAATAGTATGATCCTGGGGACTGTTGTCAAACAAAGAGACCTTGGGGTGCAGGTTCATAGTTCCTTGAAAGTGGAATCACTGATAGACAGGGTAGTGAAGAAGGCCTTTGGTACACTTGCCTCTATTGTTCAGCACATTGAGTGTAGAAGTTGGGATGTCACGTTGCGGCAGTAAAGAACATTTGTTAGACCGTTTTTGGAATACTGCATTCAATTCTGGTCTCCCTGTGATAGGAAAGATGTTGTTAAACTTGAAAGGGTTGCTGGAGCTGGAGGGTTTGAGCTATAGGGCGAAGCTGAATAGGCTGGGGCTATTTTCCCTGGAGCATCAGAGGCTGAGGGTTGACTTTATAGAGGATTATAAAATCATGAGAGGCATGGATAAGATAAATAGGCAAGGTCTTTTTCCCAGGGTAGAGGATTCCAAAATTAAAGGGCGCAGGTTTAAGATGACAGGGCTAAGACATAAAAGGGATCTAAGGGGCAACATTTTCATGCAGAGGGTGGAGCATGTATGGAATGAAATGCCAGAAGAAGTGGTGAAGGATGGTACAATTACAGCATTTAAAAGGCACCTGATGAATAGGAAGGGTTTAGAGGGATATGGGCCAAATGCTGGCAAATGGGACCAGATCAGTGTAGGATATCTGGTTGGCATGGATGAGTTGAACTGAAGGGACTGTTTCCGTGCTGTACAACTCCATGACTCTATGTTGGAAAATAGGCCCTTTTTTATACTTTTGATAAAGATAGAGGGTCAAGAGGACAGATGGCGTAGAGGCTCGGTGCAAAAGACAAAGGTGTTATTAATAGTAAAGGAAGGAAATGGAGATGTAAAATGGGTGCGTATTAAGGTGTGAAAGGGAGAGAATTGGTTCTTTCTACTAAGTGTAAAGGAAAAGAAAGACACAAAAATGATGTTATTGGGGGAAGTGGGGGATGGGGGGCAGGAGAACAGGAAGAGAATGTAAGAAAAATAGAGAACAGTCATGCAGTCAGTTTCTAAGGATCTCAAGGCTGTAATGTGCCTAGGCAGAAAATGAGGTATTGTTCCTTGAGTTTGCATTGTGCTCCATTGGAACATTGCAGCAAGCCCAGGACAGAACTGTTAGCATGAGAGCAAGGTGGTTTATTACATGGCTAACAACTGGGAGGTCAGGGTCAAACCTATGGACAGAATGGTGGTGCGTTGCAGAACTGTTGCCCAGTCTGTGTTGGTCTTGCCAATGTAAAGACCACCTCAATGTGAACAACAAATGAAGTAAACTAGATTGAAAGAAGTACAAATGAAAGGCAGCTTCACCTGGAAGGTGTGTTTGGGGCCTTGGACATTGAGGGGGGCAGAAGTGAATGACCAAGTATTACACCTTTTGCGATTAGATGGGAGGGTGCTATGTGGGAATTAGGAGGTGTTAGGACCGATGGAGGAGCAGACCAGGGTGTCCCAGAGGGAACAGTCCCTGCAGAACACTGACAGAGGAGGGGAGGGGAAGCTGTGTTTGGTAGTGGCATCCCACTGGATGTGGCAGAAATGGTGGAAGATGATCTTTTGAATACAGAGATTAGTGGGATAGAAAGTGAGGACAAGGGAACACTATCGTTGTTCTGTCCAGGAAGTGAATGGGTGAGGGCAGAAATACGGGAGATATGTCAGACATAATGGAGAGCCTTGTCAACCACAATGGGGGAAATCCTTGGTTGAAGCAAAAGGAAGTCATATTGAAAGCAGCCCATTGGAAGGCAGCATGATCAGATCAGATATGACAGAGCCAGAGAAACTGGGAGAATGTAATCAAGGTAACTGTGGGCATTGATGAGCTGGTAACAGATATTAGTGGAAGTCTATTCCTGGAAATGGAAACAGTGAAGTCAAGGAGCTGGACCAGTTAAAGGTGGGAGAAGGATCAAAATTGGAAACAAAAGCTTCCAATTCTGGATGACAGCAGGAAGCAACAGCATAGACATTTTGATGTACTGGAGAAAGAGCTGGGATAGGGTCTGAATTGGGATGGAAAACGGAATGTTCCACACAGCCTACAAATTAACAGACATAGCTGGGACTCATGTGGATACCCATGACTACACTTTTGAAAGGAAATTTGGCATGTCCACAAAGAATCTTACCAATTTTTATAGGTGCACCACAGAAAGCATCCTATCTGGATGCATGGTATGGCAACTGCTCTTCCCAAGACTGCAAGAAACTTCAAAGAGTCATAAACATAGTCCGGTCCATCACACAAACTAGCCTCACATACACTGACTCCTCGATAAAGAAACCAGCATAATCAAAGACTCCTCCCTCCCTGGTTATAGTCTTTTCCACCCTCTTTCATCAGGCGGAAGATATAGAAGTTTGAATATACATACAAACAGATTCAAGAACAGCTTCTTCCCTGCTGTTATCATACTTTTGAATATGCTTCTCAAATGTTAATGCTGATATCCTACTCTGCAACTTCTCTGCAGCTGTAACATTATAGTCTACACTCTGTTCTGGTATCTGATGCATTTTGAATGGTACAATCTGCCTGTAGGGCATGCAAAACAACACTTTCTACTGTATCTTGGTACACATGACAGCAATAAATCAAACAAAAGCAAAAAAATGGATGTGAATAATTGAGCAAATGGGCAAAGGTCTGGCATGTGGAGTATATTAGGGGAAAATATGAAGTTGTTCACTTTGGCAGGAAGAAAAAAAAAGCAGAGTATTATTTAAATGGAGAATGGCTGAAAAAATCTAGGGTGTGGGGAGATCTAGGCATGAGTCACAACAAGTTAGTAAGCAGATACAGCAAGAAAGCTATTGGGGTACTATGTTTTGTTCAATGAGGAATTGAACAAAAAGTAAAAATGTTGCGCTCCAGTTATCCAGGGCATTGGTGACAGCATTTTGAATACAGTGTGCAGTTTTGGTCTCCTTATATAAGGAGTCATGTAAATATGTAGAGCTGGCTCAGAGGGGTTTGAGCAGGTTGTCTTATGAGAATAGGTTGGACAGGCTGGGCTTTTTTGCACTGGAGTTTAGAAGAGTGTTGAAATAATTGCACAGAGTCTGTATCCCGTCACCATGTCATCCTTTATTTACTTGTTTACAGTACACTGGCAGTGGCCAGCCAGCTCAGTGTCAGTCCCCTGAACTGAGGAAATTTTACGTCTCCTGGTTATATTAGTCAACCAGGGCTTTCCTGATTGACCCAGGTTAAACAACCCTAATCAAAGATCTTGTAGTCAAAAAGGTGTAGCTGGTTCCCATCACTACATCTGTGAAGTGACTTGACTGAACCATACAAGATTCTGAATGGTCTTGACAAGGTTCACATGGAAACAATGTTTCTTTTTGTGGGTGGTTTAGAACTAGGGAGACAGTCGGAACTGCTGATGCTGGAGTCTGAGATAACAAGGTGTCAGAAAAATGAAGGGTCCGAAGAACCTTTTCAAAGAAGTTTCCAAAGAAGGGTCCAGACCCGAAACGTCAGCTTTCCTGCTCCTCTGATGCTGCCTGGCCTGCTGTGTTCATCCAGCTCTACACCTTGTTTTCTTAGAACTAGGGATACTGTTTTAAAATTAGAGATCACCCTTTTAAGACCACTATAAACAGAATTATTTTCTCTTAATAGACTGCGTGATGCTGGAACCGTCTGCTTCAGAGGTTGGTGGAAATGGGGCAATTCAATATTCTTACTTATTCTTTCGTTATGTAAAGCTCTAACTACACTGAAACTGAAATACTGGACACCACACTATGAGACACTTCTTTCTGGATACCCACCCTGAGTTTAGGGTAACAGTCAATGCTAATGGACAGAACCTGGAAATGGCAAGTTCAGATCATGTCAGATCCTAACCTTGGTGCAGGAGACTAAAAGACCATCAAACCTTTACATTCAACAACTAGGTTTGAATACTGAGAAAAAGTTGTCACAATTGCTATTGATACTTTTGCTCTAAAAATTTGACCTAACATATCTTTGATTCCAGCTCAGCCGAGGTGCTTGATGTCACTGTCCAGGATAACCATCCGCAAATACCTCAAAGAAGCAAGTGGACTGCATTCCATTGACCAGCTAGACATACCACCAATTCTAAAAAACTATGTGAAACACCATCTGAGTTGACTGTTGAGTCTTTAATACATATATGGTTTGTGTTCGGTAGGGTTCAGATCAATTTAGCCAAAAACCATTCTTTACAATGTGTGATTTTAAAATTGTGATTTTTCATCTACAACAGATATCGACTGAGGTGGGGCAGTTTACTTCAATGGTTATGAAACTAACTATTATTACAGATTGGAATTGTCCAGTCTGGTGTTTCATAGGGAATTTTCAAGCTTCAGCTGTCTGGTATGGAAAAGGGAAATTTAGGTTTATTCTTGCCAGCAGAATTTCTTAATTTAACTTGAAGATAGTACATAACACTATACAAATACTTCCATGAATAATTTAAAGGAAAATTTTGATAGACATGACACATTTTACAACAGTGTAAATTCTAAGATATTCAGGCAGTTATATATCAGAAAGGATATGTGATGTAAAGTAATTGTCTGTTTATTTAATACATAGTGCAGATGCGTGGGTACCTAAAAAGGACCGAATTGTGATGCCTACCACAGTTGAGGTGCCTGATGACATTTTTATGGGCCCAATCTTAACTATTTAAGGAATGGGCCCTTTTTGTTTAGGTTTACACATGAAGAATTGAGATTTATGTCAGATGCCTGAATGCCATTTAGTACTTGGTGAATGAGGTGGGAAGAAAACAAGAGGGCTGAGAGCAGTGAGAAAATAAAGAGACTTCCATTGAAAAAAATGGAGTACTTCTCCTCCCTTAATATATTTACAGTTTGTGGAATAGGTAAAATAGAAAGTATAAAACCCACAAATTGTTATGAAGTTTATGTTTTCACCTTTTTTCAATTGCTAGCAAGAAATGGTATGTTGTTCCTAAGTATTCCACAAAATACAGGATCCACTTCAGATATTGAATGACTGTATCTTATGCAAATAAACGGACTTGAATTATTACAATTGCTCCTTTTGTAGATGATTTATTATCATTCACACCTACTATCAAAACAATATTTTTACTGCATTTAGAATTTTTTAAAATTAGAATATCAGTACTGAACTAAGCGAAAAGTATAAACATTAATACAAAAGTGAAATACAGTACTACTGATGCAGGAAATCTGAAATTTAAACAAAATATAGAAATAATCAGTAGGTCTGGCAGTGTCAGTGAATAGTAAATAAAGTTAATATTTTAGCTTGATAGTAAATGTAAAGTTGCCATAGTCCTACTGGACCAGAGGGTTTCAGTCTCATTAGGGACAGAGATAACTAGTGGTGGTTTAACCTAAGGGTTATCACGACTTCAGCAAGGGGAGAGGTTGGAAGAGAGAGTCCTCCATGTTAACATGAGCTAGTGTGGGAATTAAACCCACACTGTTTTTATGCATTGCAAACTAACTATGCAGCCAAATGAGTTAACCAACTCCACGTCTGCCAGATAATCATTCAACAGAACACATTTTCAAGATTTATTACAACAACCTACCAAACGGCAAGTGAATCTTCCTCACAACTATCAATATTTGAGGGATATGTCTGAGCAAGTAAGCAATTTATGTAAAGAACTGTCTTAAACAAGGTTTACTTAGATGAAAAAGAATGGAAACAGATCCATACTTACATCTTTCAGCTGATGTCTTCTCAATTTATTTCTGTGGCCACCTTTTCAAAAGGTTATGTCCAATGTTTTGTTACTGAGTGGAGCCATTCCAAAATGTCAAACCACACTGTTAATGATGTGGTTAAGATTGCTAGATCATTTCTGAAGAAGAGTCATGGACTCAAAACATAACTCTCTGTTTCTCTCTCCACAGATGCTGCCAGACCTCTTGTATTTCTCCAACAGTTTCTGTTATTTCAGATATCCAGCATTCACAATATTTTGCTTTTAGTTGGTTAAGACTGATTGTGGCCAGGATTTTTAGTTGAGACAGTACATCAATGCATGAAGTCCATATACAAAATGACTTGATAACAGAATAACAGATATCTGTCATCAATAATGTGTGGATGACTGTTTTAAGCCAGTACCCTTTGAAGAGTCACACATTGTACAAAAAGTGGAGCCTCCTTCCTTAAAGGAGAAAAACACTCCATCCCTTGGGTGTGGTGACAGCCATTTCCTATTTTGATTGCACATTTACAATTTGGATGCAGGTAGAAGGCAGCACAGGTATCACTTCACAGAATGAGTCACAGGCTCAGCCTTTCAGTCCTTCCCCAAAAAATTAGTGTTTATTTCTGCTTGTCCTCCCAATCAACCCTATATGCTTTGGCCTTCTTCACATTCCCACCTAACCCACTTGTTTAACTGCTCGTCCCCACACTTTACTCCCTGAGCCCCAGGCATATAGCTTAATCATGCCAAACATTGTCCCCACATCAAAGAAGTTGATGACCCTCTCCCACATTACCCCTTGCTCTCCAATGCTCTATTGTTTCCCATTCTTATATGTTGAATTACTCCCTTCACAATTATTAATCTCTCTGCATCCCAGCATGGTGCCTCCATTCCCTACAACAGACTTCCCTCTACAGCACTAGCACCTGATAAGCCTTTTAATTTTCAGAGAATAGATCCCCTCGACTGACGGGCTTGGAAAGACTGCCCTGAAAGATAAGTGACCAGATCCCTGACTGATCTTAGTGCTCTCATACTGACTTCCATTAATTCCTAGACAGGGCCTGCAGGACTGACTTTGGTCCATTCCTCAGAATGTAATGCTACATATCCCCTGACCCGCATGCCCCAAGCAACTAATTAATAATGTCCAAACCACTGAAACTGAAATTAGATGATGTCCAGTAGCCCCTGACTGTAGATAGTCCCCACAGACTTAAGTGAGTACTCCTCCCTTTAGAATTTGAGAAATAGCTATTTGCTTACAGTATATGCCGTGTGTTTGTTATGTATGCGGCTACTTCATGCTGCAGGTTTGATATTAATGTAACACAGTGCAGTACAGCAACAGGCTGCCTGGCTTTGTGTTAGCACTAAAAGGCAAGGCAAGGCAGAAAGACTATGTACCTCTAATTCTCAGAGAGGCAAAAAGTGCAAAAAGGCAGGGGAAGGGATGGCCGAGATGCTGTGAGCATGCAAGTAGGCACAAAGTAATTGAGCACTACTTCCATTTTGTTGAGATTGTTTTACCAAATAATTTCTAAGCAAGCTAAGACATAAAGATTAAAGCATTTTCCCAAGTCATGTTTTGACAAGAAAATTATTTTCAAGTGTTATTTTTATTTGAGAGTGCCTCAGAACAATATTAACTGACAAGGTAATAGCTTGCACGAGAGAGGAAAGGGATCCGACACTGAGTGGGAGAGAGATTGGCTGAGAAATAGATACGAATTTAAGTAGACATGGAGAGGGAGAGAGAGTGTGGCAAAGTTGCACTGGGACCACAGGGTAAAGGAGATGCCTAAACAGACTTAAATATGGATGGTCAGAGTGAGGCAGGAGGAGAAACAGGAACAGGCACATAGAGAATGGAATCATTACATTTTGTAATGCATTCTAATTAGTTACCACACCAAAATCTAACATGTGGAAATCTCTGATACCCACATTCTTTGTGCATTATGTTAATTTCTCAAAACCATATTGTATCAACCCCATATTATCAATTCTTATTTGTTTCTTTCCTTCTAGAATTTGACTCAAAATTCACATCCTAATCTGAACTAACACCCTTCCAATGCTTAGGAGCTTCAGCCTCCAACCTACCCATACATGATCACTCCCACTCAGCGACATGGCTTCCAATTGCCTCAGCTATACTGAAAACTCCCTTAATAAATCTATCTGCATTACTTCTTTGTCGGTTACTTTAAAAGATTTTCAAAACCTGCCTTTTGGACTTGTTTCTGATCACTCTTTCTCTAATACTCTTAATAATATTTATTGGTGCATTCCACCTGTGTGAAGTGATTAGGTATGCTTAGTATGTTGAAGATGTGTATATATAAGATGTTTATTTGTCAAAGATTGTCATTTCTGGGTATAGACGGCAGCCAAGCAAACTGCCACCAGGCCACTGAACACACATTATAAATTTGTAAGAGTGGCTGTGGCCATCATCCTTGATTTTGCCTCAGTTCTTTTGGGAAAGCATTGTTTCTGCTTGGTTTTTCTTCTTAAAAATATGGCAAGTCCTGAAGACACCGTCATATGCCATTGTCATGAAGTGGCTGAAGCATCAATGATACATGGTTTTGGACCATTTTCCCATGTTCATTTTGGCATTTTTTTTAATTCATTCATGGGTGTCACAGGTTAGACCAGCATTCATTACTCATCCCTAGATGCTCTTGAGTGGATTGTCATGAACTGCCAGCTTGAATGCTGCAGTTCATTTGGTACACCCACAAAGGTGTTAGAGAGGGAGTTTCATAATTTTGCCACAGTTACTCTGAAGGGTTGGCAATATATTTCCAAGTCAGAATGGTGAGTGAGGGAACTTGGAGGTGGCAGTGCTCCCATGTAACTGCTTCCCCTCTCCTTCTAGACAGTGGTGGTCATGGTCATGGAAGAAGCTGATAAGGACCCTGGGTGAATTTTTGGCAATACATCTTTGACATATGAAACGAAGGTGGGGAAGGAAGTGAATATTTGTGGATATGGTGCCAAACAAGCGGTCTGTTTTTACCTGCATGGCGTCAAGCTTTTTGAATGTTGTTGGAGATGCATCCATCTGGGCAAGTAGGGAGTATTCCATCACACTCCTGACTTGTGTCTTGCTCCTGGTAGTCAGGCTTTGGGAGTCAGGAGGTAAGTGCATGAATCATAGCCTCTGATCTCTCTTGTAGCTACAATATTTATTATGGCTATTCCACTTCAAAACTGGTCAAGGGTAACCCTCAGGATTTTCATTGTGGGAGATACATTGATCATAATACTATTGAATATAAAGGGATGATAGATTGTCTTTTGATGGAGATGGTCATTTGTGTGGCGTGAATGTTGCTTTCCACTTGTCAGCCCAAACTTGAATATTGTCCTCCTCGCTGCATTTGAACATGGATATCTTCACAATGTCAGG